TGGATCGCCCGCCACAATGTGGACGCCCTGGGTTGTTTGGGGGGATATATTCCCTCTTCCGTATAAGCCCCCAGAAAAAACTCATCCCTCCTCCTTCCAGCCCCCCCCCCCCCCCCCCCCACACGAAGGAAAACCATCCCCAAAAACCATCATGGCTTGGACCGTATCTAATCATTGCAGCAGTGAGGCCCGACGTATCTATCCGGGTATCAAAAACACACCCCAAAAAAGACAAATCAAGAAGCCCGGTTTATTCATCCCCCTGTCCCTCGCACCCCGGCCTTTGCATTCCTTCTACCGGAAAGCTAGCTGGCGCGGCGCGGAAGGACTGCCCCGTCTATTCCACCATGCCTCGGCCATCCCCAATACGCGAGGGAGACACCCCAGGCCGTTTCCGGCCCTGGGCAGTTCTAACCGTTGTATGGATTCCGTCCGACTTCCATCAATCAGCCCCGACCCCTCCCGCGGCGGGATTACCCGGTTTTCCCACTCCCACCCAGGTCACGGGGGTTCATGTTGGGGCTGGCCAGCCCAGAGGCGCCGAGCCGTCCAACACCCGACACGGTAATATTGTATTCTTTCAGTCCATGCTTCCAACGGGTCGTGACCTCTGCGCAACGACTTCCCTTGCGTAGAACTCTACGAGCATGGTGGCGTAAGCCTCGAGGTCTTCGACGGGAACCGCTAGGCGGAAGTCGTTGAGGAGAAGGAATTGGAGCTCGAGATGGTTGAGTTCTCCTAGAGGGAGTCCGCCGACCTGTTGAAAAGGAAATGTTCATTAACTAGGGAAAAACAAGGGAAGGGGGGCATGGCGCACGAGTTGTTACATACCTTAGCATAGCGCGAGTTGGTGTAGAACACGTCTGAGAAGAACTTGCTCGCGCAGGTAACACCTGCAATGATTAGGCGGTGGATATTAAAACTGTCCACAACAAAGTATGTGGCTTGGCTGACAGGCGGGGCGGTGGGTTGCGTCGGTGGAACTGTGACTGCTGCTCCCCCTGCCTCCCTCACGCGGGCGGTCGGCTGGCTCCCTTCGCTCTCGTCGTCATCGTCATCGTCAGCAAGATCTGAGTCGATCTCGCCGCTTCCCTCGCTCTCGTTGCCGTCATCGTCGTCGTCGCCGCCGTCGCGCATGACCGTGTCGACGTCAGCGCCGGCTAAAGGCCTCGCCTGCGATGCTCGCGGCTGTTGCTGCCGTCGCGCCTCCTCGGACTTCACGACTAGATCGTTCACCCGCTCCGTCATGCGGTCAAAGTATACCAGCAAGCTTAGGAAAACCTCGTACGTGGTCGGGCAGTATTTGTTGATCCGGCTGAGGTAGCTCAATATCGTGATCGCGGGCACGTTCTTTCCGTGGAATGCCAACACGCTGCTGCTGAGCGGGCTGGAGTGGTCGCCGCTACCGCCGGAGCCGGCATCATCACTTCTACTTGCGGCGGCCTGTGCCTGCTTGATGTGCGCGGCGTTTCGGTTGAGAGCGTCGTGCTGTAAATCGTTGGTCGTGGTGATCTTTGTGAGCAGGGCGGCCACCATCTCGATGATATCTGCAATGGGCATGGCGCTAATCTCGTACTTCATAGCCTGTAGCGGAGGGTCGTTCAGTATTCCCGGCCCATCCCCCGATATCAAATCCGCTCGCGCGAGGCTCTGGATGTGTGCCAAGTCCCGCACCCGTACGGTGGTCTGGGTTGGCGCCGGGGATCTGGCATCACTCGTCGGATTCGAAGAAGAGGCCATCCATTGCGGACGGCCGTCCCAGGCGGGGGAGGGGATCTGCTGGGAGAACGGCTGGGCAGGAGTGGCGGTTGTGATGGTGGATGTGGAAGACTCGGTCGACGTCGACGTGACGGACGATGCTACCAGAGCGGGGGCCGATGGATCGGGCGTCGCTGATGCCATATATCTGGGGCTAGTCCCATGCTGGGGACGGGCGCCGGCAGATGTTCGACTGGGGGAGGAGGATGAAGGTGGCGAGGGGATGTGAGTGGCTTCGCCGGTCGAGGCAAGCGCCTTGTAGGGGGCTTCGGTGGCGGCGTTTTCCCGGTCGTTGCGACGAGCGTAACGCTGGGTTGGAGTCGTTGCTGTGCGCGGTTGGGAGGAGGGTGGTGTTTCTCTATCCCGGGATCGACTGACGGGGTGGTGGTAGCGAGAGTCGTGCGCGTGCTGAAGTCCCACACCGCCAATCATGTTATGAAAGCGAGAGGAGTCCGTGAAGACGTCTCCGATCAAGGCTGCCATAATAGCATTGTGCGTTCTCGCAAGGGTGAAATTAGATACTCGGGGACGAGGAATTCGAGATGATTAGGTATGATTAGGTAGGCTGATAGGGAGGTGGTATCAGGTAAGCTGTAGACACAGGAGAACGAATTAGCGTGACGGTTTTCTCTGGTAGGCGCGATAATGTTCCGGGGTGTTGTGGCGAAGGCGTAGGAGCCCAATGTGGGAAAATGCGAATTTCGAAATCAAAATATAGATTGCAGAAACAGCAGAAACGGCGGAACAAAACAGAGGCTTGACGAACGACAGGATTTGGCCCAATGCTCAATTTTAGCAACACCAGCATATTGGAGTTCGTGACGCCCGTTTCCAAGCCTCAGCCTCAGTGTTTTGCATCGAGGGGCAGTTTTGCGCAACGCCGGAGGTCCACAGAGACGCAGTCAATGAAGCATGGCAATGAGGAAACAAGACGATGGCCTTTCGTCGTCGCGACGTAAGATCTCCTCCCCCATGGAAGTGATGCTGTTGGCATGTCGGGAGATGCGCAGTCAAACCTTCGGCCTGGGAACAGTCGATTCGTACGGTCGAGTTGAGGCAAGACAAGCAGACAAGTAGCACACAAGACGCACACGTTTAGGGACACAAAAATAGATATGCTAGGTTATGGGCTGGATGCAAGCATGGGACATGCGGTCGAGGGAAAGAAGATGAGGGGCCAAAAGTCAAAAAGCCAAAAGCCAAAGGAGAAAAGACGCGGGCTTACCAAGGCAGACCAACAATAAATCGATAGGCAAGACGAAAACAACAATCTCGCGATAAACTCAAGCAAGAGATGTTCTGACGGCGGAAGTGAACCGCTTGCTGGCAAAACGAGTTTTCTTTTTTTCCTTTTTGGAGATGGCGGAGGGAGGATTGGAGGAAGATCGAGCAGGGCGGGTGGAGAGGCGGCGAGGCGGGACACTGTGGGTCGGGATGGCAAATGGCGAATGGCAAAATCAGAGGCACGTTGACGCAAGAGCGCAAGAAGCGTGGCAACAGCAAGCTGGGCGAAGTTGAACAACGTGCGCGCAGCCGATGGAGGTCGGGGATTTATGACGACAAGGCGGTGTCGAAAAACCAGCGGAGGGGATTGGATGGGCCCTGCGCTATGCAAATCGTCTTCTTCGGGAAGGAAATAAATCAATAAAAAAGGACTTGCAGGTGGCAGGTTGTGTCTGCCCGGATCTGCTCCCGACTGTTTGTTTGCCAGAATCAACAACCGAAGCGGTCTCGGCTGTGCAGGTTCCAGTATCCTGCCTTGCCTGCCGCCCTCGTTGCTGGAGCTGGAGATGAATCTGGAATCTCAGCCTGGGCCCCTGACGAGAAAATCAGGCGAGGAGTGGTTTAATTATGGAAAGAAGGTGATGCGTGATGCGCAGACGAGACGGGATCGTCACTTGGGCCCCCCGCTATTCTGGATGCATCCGCTGATAAGAAGCATCAACTGATACGCAAGGATCCACAATTCCGTATCTAGCGCCGCCTAGATTCGTCGTCCCATCGCGAACCGTATGTCGAGAAAGAGAAACATGGGAAGGGGCAAGACGAAAGGAAAACACCGGATAGAAAATGAAGATATCGAAATTGCGAGCTAGACGGTCAGACTGCCGCCTCCCGCCACGACGCCGACATTTGCAGCTTTCACACAAAGCTAGGTAGCTACCAGTCCAGACTGCAAAGTGCCTGCCCAGCCCCAGCCACGGCCAATTTTCAGCCAATCCGGTCTTGGATCCGGCACACGAGGCTCGATCGCTCGATCCTCTCCTCAGTCCTAGGGAAGTTGGGTTCCAGGTTCCATGTCATGCGAGCCAAGTTCCAACCAGTCCTCACCGTGAACCTGATCGTCGCAAAGGGATGCGAAATCTGTTGGGGATGGGAATGCCAGGTATGCTTTTACTACGGCATCCTACCCGAACCACCCCCGCAAACACGACGGGTTCCCTCTCGCCTCTTTTCCCACACCACACATCGGATCGGTACTACTTATAATCTGTACTGTCGGTGCATTGTTCTAGACTTGTGCGAGTGGAATGCAGTCCAGTCGCAAGCATCCGTGACGCCCCGATTCGCTGCCCCAGCTCCCCTGTTCCCTTTCCCCTGGTTGGTATCCCTTGGAAGGCACGAGCTAAGACCCTGTGTCTTGACCCCACTGTTCACGTTGCGAGTTCGCGATCTACATATGGGTGGTTTCGAACTTGCTCACATTATTAGTATCTCCGGGGTATGCTACAATGGAAACTACAGACAGAACTTAGATTCGCCACCATTGTTATTGATTCTCCTATTCTTCGGCCCTAGTTTACGCCGGCCTCGATCTCCCTCCATTAGCAGGTCGAAGCCTAAGCTGGAGAAGAATAAACTCTTCCAGAAGAAGCACTGAACCAACCGAGCTGAAGCTCGAGTTCCCGTTGACCGCTGACATGCGACAACTCGTGCTGCGCCTGAGATCGGGGCAAGCCCTGCGGAAATGCGCCTGCATCGCCGGGAACGAGACGATCGTCGGCATCTTGGAGCAGGCGGGAGGGCGCCGAGACCACGAGAGCCCGGAGCCGTGTCTGGACGCATCGCATCCGCCGTCAAGTCAACGGCTCAGCTACCGACCGTCATCGGATATCGTGACATGAGACTCGACGACCTCCGTTTCCGCACTGCAGATATTGGCATACATGGCCATCGGAACGGGCCCTACGCTCGACAGTCCATTAGCGCTTTACTTGACGCCGGGCATCCAGAGGACCTTGGTGGCTGCATGGTTTGCGGTAGGCCTCACATGATCACTGAGTTCAAGGCACAGATGCGTGATGTGGCATCTGCAAGCCAAGAAGAAAGTTAAGAGGGGGAGACGTGACAGGAGTTAACAGACGCACGATGGCACAGCCACGAGGCGTGGGATTTCTACACAACCCTGGTTATGCGTAGGCATGAGTTAGAGTGCAACTGCGTTGGTTTCGTGGTTCACCGCCTTCTCACACGGACGACACTGCTGTGGTTCGTGCAGTGAACATTGTTCGCAAGGATCGGAGAGCCACGTAAGATCAACCATCGCCGGGTTACTGAAGATGATCAAGCGCACCTGCTTCGGGGCTAGTCGCATTGCCTGTCCTGAACCCCTACAGACAGCCACTCTATTCGGTAAGCAGCTCCCGTATTATACACGCCCGGCCTCGTAAGCCGGACGGACATCCACAAGCCTTCCCGGGATCCAGCTGCCCCACCCTCGCAGCAGTTCCCATGCCTCCCTCTTCCTTCCTTCCTCCCTCCCTCCTCACATGTGGCGAACCTCGTAGTCGGTGTCGGGCAGGTACAGGTGCCGGTCCGCGCCCTTGGCGGTCAGGACGACCATCCGGATGACGCCTCCGGAGCTGCCGTCCCACTTGATGGCCTCCCTCAGCGCGCCCTTGACGAAGTTGACCGCGTCCGCCTCCTCCATGCCCTCCCTCCAGTTCGCGTCGCAGTAGCCGTAGATGTACGTCGAGCCCGACCCGCCGATCGAGTACGGCTGCTTGTGCAGCGACCCGCCCAGCGGGATGCTGTAGACCTGCCCGCCGTGGCGCCCGTCCCAGCCCGCGATGATGAGCCCGGCCCTGCGAGGTGGAGAGAGTATTGTCAGCACTTGATCGGATCCCCCAGGCCAGTCCCCCAGATGGGCGCAACTTACGACAGTCGGTCCTTGTTGGAGTAGCAGAGCTCCTGGAAGATGGAGGCCGCGGTCTGTGTCGTCGGCGGCTTCCCATTCATCATGGAGAAGAGGCCAAGCTGGTATTGCACGATGTCGGCCACGGCTTGTGTGTCGGCGGCGGAGCCGGAGCGGCAGCACCAGATGGTGTCGTGGACTCTGGTCAGCTTGTCCGTCACTCGGTTGGCGATGTAGGCGCCCGTTGTTGTGCGGGAGTCGGCGCCTAGAGGTAGGGAGATGGCGGTTAGAACCGTTCAGACCGCCGAAACAGATGACCTGGAGGTGGGAGACAAACCAAGAATGACACCGTCTTTGAAAGTTATTGCCATACTATGGTGATGGTTAGAGATATCCAGTTTGGGGTATGTTTGGAGGACGGCGCTCACATCGAGGTACCGAGGCTAGCAAGGCACACAAGTTAGCATGGACAATTCCTACAACAGGAGGGGTGGCTGTCCAGCATACTTAACCTCGCCCTTCTTCAACCGGTCCATATCGACATGAATGCCATCTGCGACAACTAGTCAGGACATATCCACGGCCATGCTGCGGTTCGTAGGCCAACACTGTACCTTCATTCAGCATTCCTGAGTTGCCGAACTCCATTGTGAGTGTTTGCCGGCTTGTTCAAATACGCAAATCCAAGGTCGACGAAGTGGCGCGGCTGATTAAGGTGAAAATTCAAGAAGGGCCACTTGGATAAGGACGGCGGAGGGAATCGAGGTATGGTGCAGCTTGAGGATCTGGACTATGGAGCTTCAGAGCTCAGGCAGCTCCGACGCGTTGCACCTGTCTGTCAGCTTGGCTGGAACAGTCACGTGATAAGGCTGTTTATCTACCTAGCGAATTGTGGGTATCCGCTGAGTCACGCTTTTAGAGATAGTCATGCATCAACCGCAAAGTTTGCTGGTTATCGAGGTAAAAATGATATATAACGAGGTTCATGCATGTATGTTGGTTTGGTATCCTAGATTGCTTCAGTCCTCCCAAAGTCGATACAAAAGCTACCCAGATGCACATGGCTCAGATAACCCATATAATATCTATTATAATACACACCTGGCGGGACAAGCCGTGAGGAGACTGTCCAAATCAACGCCCGACGATATTCATGACTCCCAGCCGAAACTCCATGCTCTCTCATTCCCGGCCAACTATCAACCTCCTCTTGTCAGGCCCTCCTTCTCCAGACTGACCTTTTCCCTCCCCTTCAGCTCCTCTTGACCCGTCCCCTCCTCCCCATCGGCAGGCGTCCCCTTCGCCCCCTTCCCGTCCTTCCCGTCCTTCCCGTCCTCCCCGCAGCCGCAGTCGTAGAAGTCGCCGATCTTGCTGCAGTCAAAGTCGGGCTTCCCCAGCCGCTTGTTGACCTCGTTGTGCACGAAGCACGCCCAGCCGGCGGCGGCGTTGCGGCCGCTCGCCTGCGGCGGGTACTTGGCGAGCAGCTGCTGGAAGTGGCGCGCGCAGTCACCGCAGGGGTACAGGCGCGCGAAGAGATGCACGTACGTCTTGAGCGCCAGGCTCTCGTCGGCTGTCGGCGACTCGGGGAACCGCGCCATCATCGTGTGGAGGAGTTTCCAAGACGCGCGGCCGAGTTCGGCTCTGTAGCGGGCACGTGGTTAACCTTTTGGAAGTTGGTGACTTTTTTGGGGGGGAAGAGAAGAGGAAGGTTGGTGAGGGTCAGGAGTTCGACATACTTTGCTGTTGCGTTCTCCAGTTTCGGTGCTATCGCACCCCCGCCCAAGACACCAGACGGTAAATCCAGATTAGGCATTGCTGCATCGTCGCCATTGCTTCCTACACTTGGTCCCCCTTCTAACGGCCCGGTTCCTGTCGAGGCGGAAGAGAGGAGGTATATGAATGTGAGGAAGACAGTGACAGCGAGGGCGAGTATCACTGTGAGGTGTTGTCGCCGCGCCATCTTAACAAACGACCGGACTGGCTATCAGTTGTATTGCCTGCCAGAAAGCTGGTACGTCTGCCTCAGTCGTGTTCACGGGGGTCAGGGGAGAGGCGAGTTTGTCCAAACCAAGATCAGTCGATGTGAGGTGTGCGCCAAGCCAATTGAAATATTACTAATTTGAAGGTGCGCACAGGCCAGGCCTGCAGCACAGCTCATCTTATCGTGATTCCCCACAAATAACCGTTACCCCTGCCTTGGTACATAAGTAACCTAGTGAGAGGATCGAATTTGGCAGTTCATTACTAAAGTCAACTCAAGGAACAGACGGTTGCCTGTTCCCCTTATAGACCTTACCATATCGCCACAGCAGTCTGGAGGTGTCAAACTCGAGCAGATGGCTGCTTCCTCTTGACCGCCCACCTCCTCGTACGAAAGGTTTCACGAGCATGTCGAAGAGTAGTGCCGCGGCAGATGCGAATCATCCATCCAGCCAGAAGGTTCAAGGCATAGCCGGCCCTAGCATCGATGAACCAGCGAGGGCACGGTCAGTCCCACCCGCAGCCTATCTTGGAGGAAGACGGCGCCAAGAAGGGAGCCTTCGTATTTTGAACCACAGAGAATATAGAAGCTGGCCGTCGTGAAGACGAAGGAGAAGGCCTCTGAGGATCGTCATTGGTCGAGCTGGGCGATTTGTGGGGTCGTGGAGGACCACCAGTATGCCTGGCCGATGATCATTTATCTCGCCTCAGCGAGAGATCGAGGGATAGAGTTTGCAGATATTTTGCCCTCCCGTCTTCGGCCCGACGGAGAGGAGGCCAATCCATTCTACTCGCCAAGGTGTCTGTTGGTGATTCTTGCACCTTCGGCCTCAAGAAGGCGGCCCAAGGAGCCGGTGCTCCGTGGCGGGCAGTCTCTGGGTATTAGGATCCGGTAATTATGTCCCGTTTACAACAAGCGGCGTCGTGATTAGTGTTTGACGTTGGAACCATTGCCCTGGGACCCGGGCCGACCGGGTGGCCAGCACGGTGGAGGTCAAGGTTCGGCCCCTCGGCGGAGTCGGAGGCGGTGCTGGCTTTCAGCTTCGGACGGGTAGCGCCCTTCAGAGATAGTTCCATGGCTTCCTGGAGAAAATGCTCCTAATCTGTCGGAAGCATGGATCTGCCTGGAGGGTGAGGATTAGGTTTGAGGGTTTGATCTAGGCCGCGTGGCCGGGCGGTGGTCAATTAGGTGCTTCCGTCTGGGGTGCATAAACAAATGTTGCGGGCATCTACTTCCGTACTGTCGGGTCCGTTCTGAAGAAGGGCGCTAGGGAGAGTGTCTTTGCAGCTATGACATTCAAATCAGCCCATTTACTGCGTACAATGGCCAAAAACGGGGCTAGATCTTAGATCCGATGGGCGATCTCTGGTCTAGAGGATATCACACCGTGCTGCCCGCACTCCATCCCGCACCTGTCGTGACCGTGCGGAAATTCAAAAATGATCCCGTCTCTGCTGTTTCTCCCCCCTTTTTTTCCGGTGTGGCCACGGTGTGGGCGATCGTCATCTCTTTGGACCCTGAATCCTGAATGGGTTTCCAAGCGGAAATTTGTCTGCCAAAAGATGTGCAAGCGATCCCAAGGTACTACGCATTACTGTGAAGCCAAGAATTTCCCTCATTTTCAACGACAGTCTGTCCGCGGAAGTGTTCTGCAAAGACTTGCATCAGCACCCCTAAAAATTCTTCGGTGATATTGCCTAGAGGTAAGGTAGCTAATGGTAGATTCAGGGCCGGACGAATACAATATGTACCAGTTGATACCGTGGGGACTGTGTGTCCCTTACGGTAGACGGTGATAAGATTGCAATCCCACGTCGTCACCATTGATCTCATCCAAAGATCTGGACCGGCCAACCCGGCCAACCTTATTCTGTACGCACACTACAGTGTAGGTACATGCGTACAAGGTTTTATTGCGGGTACTGCGAGCTGTGGCAAGGATGTCTGATATCAAGACAGAAGGTCTGCAAGGGTAGTGCAAAGTTTAATTTTACGCGGTGCCGCGTATGACTCGCCTCTGCTACTTCATCTATGCCAAGAGGGGGGGAGGGCCGATGTTAACCATTAAGAATATATAACTGCCCAAACCCGGGGCCTGGAAGTGTTTTCGACGTCTCGTCCGACAATCCGGCTGTCTTAACCAAATAGGCCGAATAATCGACCACCAAGCCAAGAGTGACCGACACGGCTGACAACCCCTGGCGGCGCAACGATGCGACTGCCCGCGCTTCGTTGCATTTCAGAGCTTGGGGTTCTTGTGCGCTCGGTATTTCTGCCAAGGGGATAAACAATTCACAGCATATGCGAGCGACGGGAGCCTGGCGGTCCTCTGCCTGTGGTCACCCAGGCCTCTCGGCCACATCTACTGGGCCATGCAGTGACCACGGACACGGAGGGCCATTCACGGCTGTCGGTGCCGTCTCGTCGCCCATGGCAGGCATCGGAGCCACGCTAGTCTCGTCTTTATCCCTAAATATGAAGCGCTCCCCGAACGACGATGCCTCGCCGGCACTGCTGTCGATCAACTTCATCCTGCTCGCGGTCGTCGTCGTCACCACCTCGCTCCGGCTGTACACCCGCTTCTCTCTCCGCGCCCTTGGCTGGGACGACTACACCATCACCGCCACCGCGTTGGTGGCGACGACGCGCGTGGCCATCCAGGCCGCGCAGGTCCAGTACGGCAACGGGAGGCACCGCCAGTACATCAGCAACGAGGACTACGTGACAAACAACATGCTTGGCTGGTACGCGCAGCTCCTCCTCTTCGTGTCCATGACACTGCTGAAGATCTCCATCGGCCTCCTGCTGCTCCGCATCCGGAACACCCGAGTGCTCAGGATCTTCCTCTGCTGTCTCATTTCCGGTGTCATCATCACCAACCTGACGTGTATCATCGTCCTACTGTCCGAGTGCTCCCCGGTCTCGGCCTACTGGAAGGGCGGTGGCTCCTGCTGGGACACGAGGGTCCGAATCTACGCGATATATATAACCATCGGTGAGTTTTCGAACCCCCCCCCCCCCACCCGAGGTCGGTTGGGTGGCATCTGTTCCTACCAGCAGCGGCTAACCTTGTCCTCCAGGATATTCGCTCATGACGGATTTCATATGCTCGCTCCTCCCACTCGCCGTCGTCTGGAAGGTCCAGATCCCCTTGAAGAAAAAGCTAATGATCTGGGGTCTGATGAGCATGGGTTTGGTGTAAGTTGGTCCTTCCCGAACCCCTCCCCCGGGCCTCCTCCACGTTGCACCCCAGCGACCCGGCTGACATGAAACCCCGCCCTACAGTGCAACCGCCTTCGGCGCCGTGCGAGCGGCTTCACTTGGTCTACAAACGGACGATCTCAGCTGTAAGTACGATTTCAGTTCTTCTTTTCCTCCTTTTTTTTCTTCTTTTTTCTCTTCTAACTCGCAACCTGACCACAAAAAGGGGTCTACTGCATCGCGGCAATCTGGTCAAACCTCGAACTCTTCCTCGGCATCACGGCCGCCAACCTCGCCCTGTCGCGCTCCGTCTGGATGTTCCTCCGGCACGGCCGTCGCGCGAACACCAGCGGCCGCACCCAGAGCCAGAACTGGACCAGCCCCCCGTCGGAGGGTTCATCGAGGGGTTCGGGGATGAGGATGGCGACGACGAGGTCGGCAACCAGCGCCAGGACAGAGGCGGACGAGGCGGCGAGGGGCGGGCGGGGCGGCGCAGATGGTGGGATGGGGAGGCGGCCGGGGAGCGAGGGGAGTGATATACCACTGCACCTGGGCGTTGGGGGGAAGAATTCCTTTTGGGCCTTGGTGGATTATGAGCGGGCCACCACGGATGTGTGAGATTCGGGAGGCGTCTAGGTTCGGGCCAGGCATTCTCGGAAATAGTTTGAGGCTACCCTAGACCGTGTGGTCAGGAATGATAAAACGTTGCTGTCCTCTATCATGCTTGCGCAGACTTCAGGCTTTGCAGAGATTATTCGTCCATCTCAACAGCTATTGAAGTTCATGTTTCCCTGCTGATCTCTAGGAATTCTCTTAGGTAATTCAACGTGTGCTTGATTTTTTTTTTTTCAAGCAGGTGTCTTGTTTGCAGGGGGGGGAATCAAGAATTCTGTCGGGGTGTTTTCTTTTTTCTCTTCGGGCTTTTTGAATCGGCCCGCCCCGCTTGATTGACCCATGGGGCGAATGGCGAACGAACGGCCAGCGTCTCGTAGGGCTGGCATGGATCCATGCCCATAGTAATTGTCTTCTGGGTTCCCAGCCTCTCTTGGCCCCTTATTCCGCATTTGTTTGTGGAGGTGCCGCGCCGTCGCCCCATGAAAGGAATAGGGGACGACTTCGTTCTGTGATCAAACGGGATGGCAGGTCAGATATTGCGGAGTCGGGGGCGGAGGCCAGCGTTACACACAGTATAGTTGCAATGCAATGCAACCTCGCTACATCCGTAGCATTGACGCGATCCGACAGCCAAGGATATGGGATCCCGTCTTTGGCCGCCGCTGCAACCCCATCCCGCCCGTGTTACCCTTGGGTCATCAGCGAGGGGAGGACCGGCCGCGCCGCATATGCACCTCTTACCGAAAGTGCACTAAAAGTTCCTACTTAATGTAAGCCACAGATACGTGAATGGACGGTTCGTCCTTCCGCTGCGCTGCACTTACATGGGTGGTTCGGAATGTCTCTCCCATTGTCCCATGATCTCCATTCCAACCGGGTAGTATAGGTAGTTACTAGGGTAGCTGTAAGTTGTGCAACATGCATGTACGACACGGGAGATGCAGAGGTATATATGACTGGAGTTGGCTCCCTGGCCCCCAATGTTGGTCACTCATTCCAGCTACGGCCCATCTTGCCCAGTATGACGCCTCCTCTCGGCACGACTCACGGCCTGCAGTTTCTGCTCCTTGCTTTTGTTTTCCATCTCTCCCTCGCTGTCGCAGCGGGTGCTTCACGGACCTGCACTAATACCAGAGCAGACTACGTACGTGTAGCCCATCCTGTCAAAAAAAAAAGGAGCATCTGATACTGTCCGGCTCACGAGTCAATATTTATGTAGATCGTCGTTGGAGGCGGCACTGCGGGGACGGCACTTGCAACGCGGTTGAGCAAGGGGCTGAAGAATGCCTGCATCTTGCTGATCGAGGCCGGGCCCTATGCCCCCGACGAGCTGAAAATCAACGTCCCCGGCATGAAGGGCTCGACCCTGGGCACCATCTACGACTGGAACTTCACCACGGTGCCGCAGGTGCATGTCAAGGACCGCGTGTGGACCGCGCCGAGAGGGAAGGTCCTGGGCGGGTCTTCCGCCCTAAACCTCATGACCTGGGACAGAGCCAGCAAGGTCGAATACGATGCCTGGGAGGCCCTGGGGAATCCTGGTTGGAACTGGAACTCGATGATCAAGTATATGAAGAAGGCCGAGAACTTCACCGGTGCTAACACGGCCACCTATGGCTCGAAAGGCGTGGGCTTCAAAGGACCAGTCCAGACTGTGGTGAACCGCTTCATTCCGGAGTATCAACACGACTGGATCCCAACCCTGGAGCGCTGGGGAGTGCCCAAGAACCTCGAGTCCCTGGGCGGCGATCCCCTGGGTGTCATGTGGCAGCCGAGCAATGTCAGCCCGACGCATTACAACAGGTCGTACAGCGCAAACTCTTATCTCCCGATTTCGGGGCCCAACCTCGTTGTCTTGACGAATACCCGTGTTGCCAAGGTGAACCTGCAGAAGTCTGGGAAGAAATACAGAGCGACCGGTGTTACCTTGACCACAGGCGACATAATCAATGCCTCCGCCGAAGTGATCCTCTCCGCGGGCACGATCCAGAGCCCGGGGCTGCTGGAACTCTCGGGCATCGGACAGGCATCCGTCCTCTCGGCGGCGGGGATCGAGCAGAAGATCGACCTGCCGGGGGTCGGCGAGAACCTGCAGGACCACGTCCGCATCCAGGCATCCTACCAGCTGAAGCCCAACTACACCTCCATAGACATCTTCCGGTACAACGCGACCTACGCGGCCGAGCAGCTGCAGCTCTGGAAGGAGGGCCGGTTCTCACGCTACGACTACACGGCTAGCGCCTATGCCTTCCTTGACTGGTCGCAGATCAGCCCCACCCTCTCCTCGACGATGCTCGCCCTCGCCCGCCAAGCCGCCGCCGCCAACCCCTCCTCGGTGACGGTACAAAAGCAGCTCGAGCTCGCCTCCAACCCGGCCATCCCGCGGCTCGAGCTCATCCTGTCCGACGGCTACACCGGCACCAAGGGCTACCCGCCGCCCACATCCCCGCTCTACGGCGCCAACTTCGCCACCGTCATCGCCGGCGTCATGCACTCCTACAGCCGCGGCAGCGTGCACATCCCGGCCTCCTCCCCGACCACCTCCCCGCCGGTCCTCAACCCCAACTACCTCTCCACGGCGCACGACCTCCGCGCCGCCATCGAGGGCTTCCGCCTCGCCCGCCGCGCCGCGACCTCGGCGCCGCTGCGCGCGGCATGGACGTCCGAGTACGAGCCCGGGACGGCGGCCGTGCCGCCCGGAGACGCCGGCGCGGAGCGCGAGTACGTGCTCGACAGCGCCGCGTCCATCTACCACCCGGTCGGGACGTGCGCGATGCTGCCGCGGGCGGCGGGCGGGGTGGTGGACGCGGCGCTGCGGGTGTACGGCGTGGGGGGGTTGAGGGTCGTGGATGCTGCTATCATCCCGCTGCTGGTGAGCGGGCACATACAGACGGCGGTGTATGGGATTGCTGAGTTTGCGGCCGAGATGATTATCCAGGGGGTTATTGGGAAGAGATGCGAATGAACGATGGGGGTAAGACCGGGATGTGCGTTTCTCGGAAATTGTCGGGAATCACGTGACTTGGAGATTAACTGCGCTGCATCTTATCTAAAGTTTATCTGGCCTCATTCTATCCTTCTGGAACCTTTTCCGATGTTACAGTTCGGGACTGCAGGCAGGGACCATGTCAGCCTACCGGTAAGGTACACTGCGCTGCACCAGGCACAGGCGAGCCGGGAGTGACGGAATGCAGGAACGGCATCCAGATTTACGTTGCATTTAGCCTATGCTCGGGAATCATCGATTAAAGAATGCGAGATATTAAGCTGCGTCTGTGATGTCACTGTCGCCATATGTACGTGATGCCGAGAGAGAAGGCGTCAGACGCACAGGTTCGCCCAGCCGACGACGACGATGACAGGGATAGCTAGTTTTACAGAGAGGAACGCGGAGAAAAAAACCCCTCTATCCGTTCCAAAACGCCTCGTGGTTTCTAGTTTCCGCCCAATCCCACCCTCGCCTCTCTCGCCCTTTCCCCCCAAAAGTCCTACCTCCCATCCCGCTTGACCTCCCGGACCTCATACACGCCGACCCCGCCGTCGCCCTGGCCCGAGAAGAACAGCGTCCCGTCCGCCGAGAACGCCAACTCGGCAACCTTCTCGAGGTTCCTCAGTGGGCCGAACCCGGTCTCCCCGTTTTCACCACCGCCCCCACCGCTGCCCGACCAGCGCCACAGCTCCCTCCCGCTGAGTGCGTCCAGCACCGCAAGCCCACAGCCCGGGTCGCAGTAGGCGACAAAGCGGCAGTCCGGGGAGATGCATGCCATGGCGTCGGGAATCGAGTAGGTGCGCGTGATGTTGGCGGCAAAGTCCCACACCAGCACCTGCCTGCTCGTCACCGCCACGGGCTCCAGCTGCCACCCGCCCGTACGGCCCTTGCCCTGCACGGCGCGGTAGCTGGCGGGGACCCAGATCGACACCGCCACGCTGCCGTACGATGCTAGGCATAGCGGTAGCGCCGTGGCCAGCTCCGGGTGCCGCTCTGCGACCAGGATGAACTTGTACGGCCGGTGATTCGTCGGCGCGGGCGTGGGCGACATGTCATCGTAGTCGCCCACCTCCCAGGCCATCAGCATGGCACCCTGGTCCGGGGGCGGCTGGCCCGGCCGCGGGGGTCGAGGCCCCGCCGCCGCGATGAGGAGCGGGCCCGTGGCCGAGTAGGTCAGCTCCGGGTACTTGGGTATGTGCGGGAGGCCGGCGCGGCCGAGGTCGATGATTCGCGGTTTGCCAAAGGGTTTCTTGGCGTCGCGCGCTACAGGATGCAGCGCCAGCGTGTCGCCGTCCTCGCGGTACGTGACCAGCGGCGGCCAGCGCGCCTCGTAGATGTCGCTGCGCACCGAGGCCCAGCGGTACGCTTCCTCGATGGTCTGCAGCTTCTTGCGCCGCGCCCAGTTCCAGACCTCGAGCGAGTGGCCGAACGCCGTCGCGATCACCACCAGGTTCGCCGTCTCCGACAGGATCGCGTGACTGCGCACGAAGTAGTCGCGCGACCTCGTCTGCGACTGCACGTAGAAGCTGACTTTGATGGAGCTGGCGAGCGTGCCGGTCCGTAGATCCCAGAGGCGGATGATGTTGTTGCCATGCTTGCTGGCGAGGATGGAGGATGTAAAGGAGATGTCGAGGTACGAGACCGTCCCGTGGTCCTTGTCGTTCTTCTGGGCCAGGTGCTTCCAAGGGACGATCTCTATTTCTGATGTTTGCCCCGTGGCAGTCGGCGGCGGCGGGGGTGTGGCGGAAGGGGCGGGCATCGGGGAGAATGCGACCTGCGTGAGAGGTGTGAGTGGTGCCTTCGAGGAAGACACACTTGACGCCCGGCCCGAGGTCGAAGTTGCCACGGAGCCTTTCGAGCCACGGGATGTCCGGGATGCGGGTGATGCCGGCAGCGCCGGCGACTTCTCCGCCGCTGCAGTCGATCCTCTCGACGGCAATCGTTGCTGGGGGACGGCGGGCAGCGGCTTCGTGGGCGGTGGCGGGTAGAGGCTGTAGGATTGAGGAGAAGGTTGGGGTGTCAACTTCAGCCCCCTCTTCGCAGCATATTGCTGGTCCCTCCTCGCTTCAATTGTATCATTTGTATGTCGTCTCTGAGGCACAGCCTTCCGCTGAATGCCGGGACTCGTAACGTCTTCGTCTTCTGTTGCAAACCACGACACAGACGCTTCTGATGTCCGTCGCGACTCGGAGCTGGAGAACGAGTTGGGATTGCTCTCCGATGTCGATGCCCTGCTGAGCTCCCGTGACATCTGTTTCATGGAGAGAGGGCTTTGTAGGCTATCCGGGCTTCGTGGGCCTTGCGCCGTATTCGCGGCTCCATTTGCGTAGCCCGAGGCGTCGCTGAGAGCCGGTCAGTTAGCATGGCTAACCCATTGTGATACCGTGGGGATGCTATCGGCGCGTGGCTATGCCGGGGAGGGAGCCTCACCGTTTGCGACTGTACGACACATCGCTCACGCTATTCTCGACGCAGAAGGATTCGACGTAGCTGATTAGGCCGTGGAGCCCCCTCTGTAATCCAAATGCAGATCGATTGACTTCCCGATCATCCTGGGGCAAGGGCACCTGCACCCGCACCCTATAAGCCCGGGCCAGAATCTGGGTCGCGTCTTGTCTGATGTCGGTGACCCCGATGCCCAAGGCGTTGGATTTGCCGTCGGCTATGAATTCGATCGAGGTGGAACTGGAGGGATAGTTGGACGCTGGTCAGCAGCTTGCTTTTTGGGTAAAAAGAAAGAGAAAAATGAGCTGGCGCCACCTACAGATTTACCACCTCCCGCGCCAGTCGCATAGCCCGCCGACATGTCTGCAAGCCCGTCTTCAACCCCCTGATCTCTTCCTTGGCGCGAGGGCCATCACCGTGGTCGGCGAGCACGGCATCAATGCGGGCAAGCACGAGGCGGCAGGCGGCGGCGAGCGAGAGGATCGGGGCGTGCAGGGAGATGGGGATGGCAGCCTCATCTAGCAGGCGCTCGAGGAGGGCGCGGAGGTCGAGGAGCTCGTAGGTTATGGGGTCGAGGGCGGTGCGTGCGAGGGGCACGGCGCGGATGAAGTCGTCGACGACACGGCTGGATTGGACGGTGGCGGAGAGGGTGGTCAGGAAGGAGGCAGGAAGGGGTTCGGAGCCCATGCTGAGCTGTGCTTGTTGGCCTTGTTTTTGGCCTTCAAAGCGTGCGCGCGCGAGCTGCAGGGTCAGATGATGCTGGCGAATGTACCACAGCGCGGCTCATTGAGATCATCGCTGTTCTCGAGGCTGGAGGCGCGGGGTCGAGTAGGATGATCAGCATCAGGGGGAATTACTGTAGAGTAAAGAGCGAAGGGGAGATCTTCTCTCTGTCGGGCAATCTTGCTCCTCAGGTCCCAGGGTGAGCGCTTGCAGGGTGAGGTGGTGAGCTTGCAAGGTTGGAAGCGAACTACTCCATAGTACCTAGGTAGTTGTAGGGGGGGCCCATCTGGCGCCAGCCTCAAGCTCTTGTATCCTCGTATCTTCACTCATCCTCACTTTCCCCCCATCCAAGCTCCATCCCCCTTTCGCCTTCCTTGTTGAGGCGGAGAGTTTAGTAGCGGGGGTGGGTACGAAATCAGGAGTAAATTGGGTCTCGGCCTATCAGAGGCGGCTGACCCGACATTAACCCTTGCTGTCATCCTTCTTTAGCCTGCACTAGCAAGATCTCGGTCAGCAGGAGGTTTCGACGTTTACGGAGTACTTTGCAAAGGAAACAAGCAAGCACGCTACAACATATTCAACCCAATGATGCTAAATAACTGCTCCCTCCCAAGCTCTAGCCGGTATGAGTAGCCGAAGGCCCAGAGCCTAGCCCAGGCTTCTCCGGTCTTGGCGTGCACCACAGTATGCACATACCTTCTGCGTCTTAGGTTGTCTTCCATCAGGAACGACCCACCCGGACTTTCTACAACGAAGGATACGCACTTCCATGCAAGCCGACTTTGACAAAAAAAACAGGGACGTTTTGGAAACGGCCCGAAGGCCTGTCCATTCGGTTCTTCTGTACTCGTACGGATGTAGGTAGAATCCAGGTTCCCGGGCACAGGTTCATAATTCCCCCGGGCCAGAGCCAGCGCCAGCGCCAGTGCCACCACCGCCAGCGCCACCCGGCCGAACCGCGGCAGCAGCCATACCACGCTAGTTCTGCGACATGCAGACCATATTCGACTAGCCTCAATTCAGGGGTGATCACCGACATGACAGGCGCGAGATTGAAGATGCACGTGTTGAAGGGTTCTTCAGCAGATACCGTGTGCGCGTCATGGTAGCTGAACGTCGCGTGTACCTTAGGTCCCATGGCTGTGGGCATATATACCATAGTACTAACCACAAGGTAATTAATGTACCGGTATTTGGTCGTCTGCGGCATGACGTCGGCAGGCGTGGCTTGCAACATCTCTGCTCGGCCCTCCACCCCCAGTAGCCCAATTTCCGCAAATCGACCCTCCGACCCCTGCGAAAGTCCAAGCCTTCTGCTTGGGGAAGTCGCTACTGCAAAGTACCTAATTAGGTAGATTTAAGGTGCGACTCCGCAAAGGACCACTCGCTGACCCGACCTCTTGTCTGGGGCCTTGCGCTTTTCTCTCCTGCAGCAAGAAAACCCCCTCCAGTTTCTCAACCCTGTGACTCTCTCTCTCTCCTCATGTCATCCCGCAGAGCCTCCATCCCAACCCACGGCGATGGGACTTTCCAGCACTGCAAGCGGCATCTGCCGACTGTCGTGCCTGCCAGGGTCGCCCCTAGCTGCTTAGGCGTTTAGCCATGTGTGCTACTGCCGTAAGGCGGATGTGTGTAATAACTATTGGACCCACCCTCAAGCCGCGGAAAATTGCCGCAGCTATGGGACGTCCAATCCATCCGCCTTTCGTCTTCAGACACACTGCAGTAGCCTCTTCGGGAAGCGGCAGTAGTCGGAGGGTTTTGAGCAGCGGACGGCCCTCGTTCCTGTTCGTGTTGGGGCTGGGCGAAGCTGAACCTCATTTCCCCACAGGCGAGGGAAGACGTAACGCTGGTCTTGCTGTTCACGGTGAGGTTGCGGAGTTGCAACAGGAATACAGAGGGGATTAGCAACAATAGCGGACATCCTGCTACATCAATTGGTAAAAGCGTAGGACTCTAAAAGTTGCGGTGGCTCAATTCCCTTCAGTTAAACCTTTTTATTTTATTTTTGTATTCCTGGTCGCTGCTGTCGCTTCTCCCCTGTTTTTCTTTTCTTTTTTCTTGCTGACCAGTGACACATGCCTCTACTAAGTAATTTGATTCTAATAAGCAGTATAAGACCTTATCTAGGTATCATGGCGTCGGCCTGTCAAGATGGGTGTCAACCCCTGCAATGTTCCCCACAATTTCACGCGTTTCTCAGCAGAGTCCCACGCCATTGAGGAGGAGGAGCGAGTCCGGTTTCTTAGTAACACCAGTCTCTCGCTTCCTCAGTACCCACTTCTTCACGATGCCGCCAGCGACGCCCGGCAAGGCGTCGCCAAACCCGGCCGGAGATGCCGCTGTGGACCTGCCGAACGCCTTGGAACTGGCGGGGGCCGCCCGAGTTTGGCAGGCATGCCTAGCCTGCCGCCGGAAGAAGGCAACTAGCTTCCAATCCTCACTATGAACAGACAAGCGGTGTCGGACTAACGTTCCTTTAGATCAAGTGCGACGGGAAGCAACCATGCCACAACTGCAACTCGCGAGGCCTGGGTTGCGAGTATCCGGGAAGCAAGGATAATGCTTCTGCCAGTCGCCAGTAATTATACTTGGCCTGCCCTGAGTCGAGACAATGGCTAACGGGACTGCACTAGTTATGCTAGTTCGTTTGAGGCCCGGTGCCAACAGATGGAATCGCTGTGCCACAGACTGGAGATGCTCTCTGGCGAGCTGGCTCAGTCCATTGACGCCTTGAATCGCCCTTCCCTGTCCAATCCCCATGAGAGCCCAAACGAGGATCTGCTCCAGGCTGCCCATGTCTTGCGGTCTATGCCTGAGGTCAGAAACTCCATTCATGACATGAGAAACAGCCATGGTTTATCGGTGCTCCCGTCTGTCCCGTCTGGCGCCGAACGCAGGGCTGCTGCTGCTGTGGCTGGCGTCGCCATGGCTAAGCCTCCCTTGGAGAACGATGAACTATCCGGCTCCGAGCTTGATGACGAAGACGTCGACAGCGAGCTGGGGAACCACGACTTGGATTATGGGTCTCAGCACCAAGGGGGTGCCATCAGCCGAGCCGGGGCCTTGGTGCGAGACTCGTACGGCCGTCTACGGTAATGCTTGGCCCCCGATCGTCGACACCCCCTCTTACTTCCGTGGACCGCTCACACTGCTCTAGGTTCGTCGGAGGCGCCGCGAACAACATGCTCATTGAAGCAGTCCGAAGCCTCCCGCACGCCGCCACCGTCATGTCCACGTCGTCAACTTTGAATGAAGTGGGAGGCGCACCCGATGATGTCCATAGCCCGTCAGATCCCGAAATCCCCCTCTTTGTCCGGGGCCGAGTCTGGCCCGTGTTGCCCTTCCTCCCCAGCCCGGAACAGCTCTCCCGCCCCCCAAAGTACGTCGCGGACCTGCTCGTGAAACTCTACTTCGAGCAGCTGCACTACACCTTCCCCGTCCTCTTCAAGCCGCAGTTCATGCAGCGTTACCGGCAGATGTTCCACGCCGGCCCCGACAGCTCCTCCCCGCAGGACCGCAGGTTCCTGTCCGTCTTCTTCGCCATGTGCGCGTGCGCGTCCAGCCTCCTGCCGACGAGCTCGGAACGCGGCTTCGCCGGCATCGAGTACTACGAGAAGGCGCTGCTGCTGTACTACGCCTCGACGGGCGAGGCGTCACTCGAGCGGGTACAGTGCCTCGCTCTGCTGGCCATGTGCGCCGCCGGGTGGAACACCCTGACGCAGAGCTGGCTTCTGGCGGGGCAAGCCGTCAGGTCTGCCCTGGACATTGGGCTTCATTTGAGCAGCGGTCTGGTGAGCTTTTACCCGTATTTCTTTTATACTTGCATCGACTATCTGTTGCTTGTCCGAAACTTCGATACTGCAACCTCGGGGAACGACTGGCTGACTTAAAGACAAGATGATGCCCATATCATCCGCCCCTAGTCAAGTAGATCCCACCGAGTTCCTCAGGCAGCAGGTGTCCCGGCGCATATGGTGGAGCATATACAGCCTCGATCGGTAGGACTCCCATCCGTGTAACTTTGTCGCGACATGATTCTAATCGTGTTGGCTCCCGCTGCCTAAAGTGTCATATCCATCTGCCTTGGTCGGCCTATGGCTGCGCAAGACGAAGACTGCTACTGTGAACTGCCTCTGAACATGAGCGACGACGAGCTAGAGTTCTACTCCCGCCTCCCCAAACTGCCCAGCACTTGGCCTCAGTCTCGGTCTTCGGCATCCCCTTGCCCGACGACGGGATTCCTCGCCTTCGCCCGCCTCTGCCGCATAGCTGGCAAGATCCGGCAGCTGAACTCGCCGCGCCGCGTCCGGGAAGTGGCGTCCGCCAGCCCCGGCAAGTCGAGGCGGTTCAGGGCGCGTGTCGACGCCCACGATCGGGCGCTCCGGTCGTGGATGGAGAGCCTGCCGGATAGCGTTCGGTTCTCGGGCAGCGCGCCGGGCGGTGGTGCCGAGGGGTATCCACACTCGACTATGGGCGTGATCATCTTTGTCGTGCATGCCGGATCGTTGTTGAACCTGTATCGGCAAGTTTTACAGGTTCTGGTGGCAGTTGGTTGATCAAGACTGACAGCATGTAGCTGTTTCTTCGGCCATCGCAAACAAGCCGCGTCTCTGGTCAACGAAAGCGACACCGTCGATGCCGTCTCGCAGTGCATAAGTGCCGCGAGGCGCTGCATCAGCGCGGCTGAGCTGGTACGGGACCTGGTCCCCCCCTCGCACCACCTGGCCTTCTGTGTGCATTACCTCACGCTTTCTGGTGTTGTGCTGTGAGTTAAGGACCTCCACTATCGCCGCCCTCCTTCCCAGAAGCCACCGCTAAGAATTTACTTGTTTTGCATTCAGGCTGCGCATGCCAACGACCCAGCCCAGAGCCCAGACCGTTGCGGACATCCAGAAGTGCGTCGGCGTGCTCAAAGACCTGGAGCTCCGGTGGTCCGGCGCAAGCTGCAGCAGGGCCATCATTGAGCAGCTGCTGGCCGAGTTCTGCAACGACGCCGACCCTGTCGTCGACCCTCAACATCGCACTCAAGGCAGGAGCGGGGCCGCGCAGGAGCAGCTGGCGGCGAGCAACCATACCATCAACAACAAGAGGCCATTTGCTGGGTTCGAAGACGAGGGCGCGGAGGAGGTGGAGGGAGAGGCGTTCTGGAACCAGATTCCTCACGTGTCTGAGTTGTTTACCTTTGATTCCATGGATCCTGGACTGTTTAACTCATGGAGTGGGTTGTGAGTGTTGAAAAAGGGGGCGGGCGCCTGTTCCTCGGATACCTAGGTAGTTTGTTGGATAGGTAGTCTAGGGGGACCTTTGTGAGCTATTTGTACTCCAATAACAGACTAAAATAGGCTGCAGACAGGAAAAATTGGCCCTCAGTTTGGTTCCGTCCCCACATGGTCCCGTCGGTGGGACCCCATCCGATATATGGGTAGTGTCTTGTCGTCATCCGGCCATCATTTGGTTGACAGGTCAATCAGAGGCTGGCCACAAAGAGGTAGTCGTCCATATAGGTATTCTATATCGTGTATTCCTTAGAACCGGAGCTTTCTCTGGACACAGACCACAAACCCCTCTTTCCCCAGCTTTGACCAAAAACCATGGCTGCCACCACCCGAGTCTACCCCGCTGTACCCCTCCCGGACGCTCCCCTCGTCCCGCTCGCGCCGAACGCCTCCCTACAACCCCCCCTGTCACGCCGTGGTTACGGGCCGGGAATTGTCATCATAGATCCCGGATACGACCTTCCGGCCCTTCCGTCAGCCGAGACCCTCGACCCACCTCCCCAGTACAAGTGGGCCGAGGAGGGATACGCCGTCGTCCGCCTGGCGATCCGGGCGGACGGCGGGAAGGATGAAGATGACTGGGACGTCCGGGCTGGCCTGGGCCGGGCAATCGAGGCCCTGCGAGGACTGGACCAGTGCGACGTGAAGGACAAGACCGCTCTACTCGGTATGTGCCACCATGCCCGCGCAAGTCCCGCCATCTTCCTCCCGGACACGCACGCTTAGCGACTTGGCTTGCCTCCCCCCCTAGTCTACGGTACAACCCAGCAGTACCCCCCAGGCTTTCCCGAGCAGCTGACCGCCGCCCTCGCCGGGGCCCCCTCCATCGTCGCCTGCGTCGCCTTCTCGTCGGCGTGGCGGCTCTCGTCGCCGTCGCGGGCCCAGCTCGTCCACGAGCCCGGGAGGCGCGGCCCCCGCCCGGCGGCGCCCGGGACGACGACGACGACGACGACGACGACCAAGGTGTACGCGTACCCGGCGGCGTCGTCGTCAGAGTTTGTGGTCCCCGTCCCCGGCGGGCGCGACTACGTCCCGGGCGCGGCGTCGCTGGCGCACAGTCGGAGTCTTGGGTTTGTTAAGGGGCGTCTCGGGGGGCCCCTTTTCGACCTCGAGGAGATTTGGGAGGAGCACACGCGGTATGAGTTTGGGGATCGGTCGGTCGAGAAGACGATGGGGACTATGGTGCTGGAGCCTTATGTCAATCATGTCCCCACGGTGGGTGGCTTTCTTACGCACACACCCCTTCCTCCCCCTATTTCTTCCTTGTATACTGGAAGGTGAGGGGAGTTGCATTGGCTGATTCGCGGCGTGGTTGACAGCTGACTGGGGGCATCGGCCGAGAGCGTCTGACGGATTTCTACCGCCACCATTTCATCCTAAATAACCCTGATGACACGGCGCTTGAGCTAGTCAGCCGCACTGTCGGGGTGGATCGCATTGTGGACGAGTTCGTCTACTCGTTCACGCACGACATGGAGATTGACTGGCTGTAAGCATTCCCATCCCTATACCTTGTCGTTCAGCCCCCGACCCGTCACCAGCATGGCTAACAGATCCCTCCCCCTTCCCCCCTCCCCCGGGATACAAAAACAGCCTCCCAGGTGTCCCCCCAACAGGCCTCCCCGTGCGCATCCCCTTCGTGGCCGTGGTCAACGTGCGCGGCGACAGGCTGTGCCACGAGCACATTTCGTGGGATCAGGCGACGACTCTGCGCCAGCTCGGCTTGCTGCCGGAGTACCTGCCCTTCCCGCACCCCGTGGCCGGCCGCGAGGGCCAGATCCTCGAGTACAGGGTCCCCGCCGCGGGGGTCGAGACGGCGCTCAAGCTCGCGGATGAGCGGTGCGTCGGGAGTAATGGGTTGTTTGTGGCGGCGGGGGAGGGGGTTAGGGAGGTGGGTGCGAAGGGGAGGGAGGGTTGACGGTCGGTTGTCGGTCTGGTGTAGCGCGGAATATGATGCGTGGGCTGGTCCTGGGTTCATGCACAGGGTGACAGCCAAGGTAAATGATCCCTGACAGAGTAGCCTCTATGTTGGCGGTCGAGTTGTGGGGCAGGGCTTATAAGGTTTAATCACATGGCATCTTAAGTTCGGGTGTGGCTGAAAGATTGTCAAGCAACTCTTCGACGGTGACGGAAGACCCGTGGCGCGGTTTCACCAGTGGACAGGCCCCCCCCTTTTTCCAACCTTTTTCCTCATCTGCCTTTTCAGTTCTGCATATTTCTTCCACGCTTCTCTTTATATAGTAGCAAGTGTTATATCTTGTTAGGGGAGATACTTGTTTGCCCTGGTGGGATTCTTACGCGCTTATGTAGGTGTGTATGTACATACAACAAGCACCGTGAACCGAAACTCCCCGTCACTTTTGGTTCATGATAACAATCTTGATATCCTTCCTCGCGTGCTGCGCCTCGAACGCCTTGGCCGCCTCCGTGAGAGGGTACGTGGACGTAATCAGTGGCTTTAGGTCGACCAGCTTCCGGGACAGGAGGCTGATGGCATCGGCGAAACAGCCGGGGGTGAATCGGACCGTTCCTACATTCAGCAAGGGATGAGTTAGATCTAATTGCCAGCAGCCGGCATCACGAGACTCGGCAAAGGCTTGCCTTTGATGGTCAACTCCTTGGCAGTGAGCAGGAACAGCGGGACCGCTGTCAGGGGCTTGCCCAGACCAGCCTGGATACCTGTAGTCAAAGTACCATCAGCCACAGCCACACGAGGTCCGTCCCCCTGAATCATGGCCGAAAAGAGCACGCCAAGACTGATCGATCACCTACAGGTGCCCCCGGCCTTGAGCACGCACACTGCCATCTGGGCGCATATCTCGGCGCCGCTGGCCTCGACCGCGACGTCGAAGCCGTTTCCGACGTCGTGTTCGGCGATGATGCGCGCCGCGTACTCCTGCGCGAACGAAAACGTCGCGTTCGTGTCTCCCGACACCGACGCCGGCGGGGCCGCGGGTGTCACGATGGCGGCGTCGGCGCCGTACTCTTTGGCGAACTTGGCGCGCGACTCCTCGACGTCGAACATGACCACCTTCTCGACGCCGTACGCCCGGGCCACCGCCAGGACGAGCAGGCCGAGGGGCCCGCAGCCGCTGTTTTTATTTGGCGGGCGGGTTGGGCCGATGCGTTAGCGGGTGATGTTGTCTTTCTTACTTGCATGCAGGATGCACGGGGCGGAAACAATATTGGCATTGCAGGCAAGCAGGCAAGCAGGCAAGCAGGCAAGCAGGCAAGCAGGCAAGCAGGCAAGCAGGCAAGCAGGCAAGCAGGCAAGCAGGCAGGCAGGCAGGGGGGGTGGGATGGATGCATACAAGATGGCCAAGGTCTGATGCGCGTTTAGCGCCGCCCGTCGCCCCAGCTGGACTGCAATGGCCAGGGGCTGGATGGCGCCGGCCTCCTCCCACGACACGCTGTCGGGGATCGGCACCGTCATGGACGCCCGGCAGGTGAAGTACTGGCAGAGGGTGCCGTCGGTTGGGTCGAGGCCGCAGTACCGGAGGTTGGCGCACGTGTTGGGGTTGCCGCGAAGGCAGAACTCGCATCTGTCATGGGAGGTAGTTCGCAAGGATGCGTCACTGTCAGCCAAGCATTTTCCCCGTCTCTTCTTCGGCTTTCTCTCGGTCACTCCCGCAACAGCCACTATGTATGTCTGTCTCCTATCCCAACCTCTCTCCCCGCAACAACCCCGGCAAGACGCAAAAGAGGGCAGTGAGGGCGTACTCCATGCAAGCGAATCCCGGCTCGACGGCAACGCGCTGTCCGACGGCCCGGTCCGTCACGTTACGCCCAACCTGGATGATCACGCCGGACGACTCGTGACCCAGGACCAGCTGGCGGGAGACGCTGGCGCTCTCCCAGTTGTGGCAGTCGGAGCCGCAGATTCCCGTGGCCACGATCTCGACCAGCACCTCGCCTTCCCCGGGCTCCACGATGGGCCGCTGCTGGATTTCCAGCCTCCGCACCCCGGTCCACACGACTGCGCGGTTCGACTTCGGAAGTGCTGCGGACATGGGGGCGATGTGAGTTTAGACCCCGCGTTTTGTGACAGCTCAAGTTTGGATGGAGACCGGTGTGAGGGGTGGAGAGCAGGGGTTCAGTTATCGGTCAGTCGCCAGCGGTCAGTGGTAACCAAGGGAGGGGCTAGGGAATAGGGAGAGAGAAAGTGTGTGGTGTGTGATTGAGGTCGAGGCAGGACAGGGCCACACACGATACGGATACTTGCTCAAAATCAGTGTGCTAAACCCATTCGATCCGGGCAGCATCGATGCGGCCCTCCCCGCCATTATGTTGGCTTCGGTTGGCACACTCGGGTGGCCCGGACCCCGGCCCGACCCCAGCCATCAATATCGGCCAGGTGGGGGTCGAACCACCGGCGTCGATCAATAACCCAATTCTGCTCCAGCCGGCTTCGCTTCCGGCGCAGAGATTTGGACATTTGGTTGCATTGCATGCTGTTCACCGCGTTCCCCAGGCCACTAGCCACTAGCCACTAGCGACCGTCACAACCCCCCCCCCCCCCCCTTGGCAAGCAACTAGCAGTAGCGTGCCGTAGAAGGTCGTCTTCCCGTGCCCAATAACCTTAAGTTAGTGCCGGGAGATGGATGCTCCATCGCTTTCCAGCTGGACTCCCATCTTTGATGGAAGCTCCCATCCAGGCCAAAAGGGAGAGCCGAGACAGCTGAGTTGCCGCTCTTGCGTGTTCTGTTATAATCACCCAGCAACTCGACAATCCAACGAGCGACATCAACGAGTCAAATAACCCGCGGACAGCACAGAATGGAGACAGAAAAGAACCGCCGCCAATCGGCCGACATGAACGTCACGGCGGCTGACGTCGACCTGGTAGAAGGCGAGTCTACCAGCAGCAGCGGCGCGCAGGGTTGGGACCCGTTAGTCGAGAAGGCCCTCGTGCGCAAGATCGACGTGCGCATCTTCCCCATCATGATCATCCTCTTCATCCTCAACTTCATCGACCGCAACAACTTCGCCAACGCGCGCCTGCGCGGCCTCGAGGAGGACCTCGGCCTGACCGACGTGCAGTACCAGACGTGCATCTCCATCCTGCTGGTCGGCTATGTCTCCATGCAGGTGCCGTCCAACCTGATCCTCAACGCCGTCACCCGCCCTAGCTGGTACCTCTGCGCCTGTGTCGCCGTCTGGGGCGTCATATCGGCGGCCACAGGCGCCGTCCACAACGCTGTCGGCGCCATCCTCTGCCGCTTCTTCCTCGGCTGCGTCGAGGCCAGCCTGTTCCCGGGCAGCCTGTACTTCCTGTCGCGCTGGTACACGCGCAAGGAGATGCAGCTGCGCGTCACCATTCTCAACGCCGGCAACCTGGCCGCCCAGGCCTTTGGCGGCCTCATCGCCGCGGGGATCCTGGGGGACATGCAGGGCGTGCGCGGGCTCGCCGCCTGGAGGTGGCTGTTCATCATCGAGGGTGCCATCACCGTCGCCATCGCTGGCATGGCCGTCTTCGTGCTGCCCGACTACCCGGCCACGACGCGCTGGCTGTCGGGGGAGGAGAAACGGATTGCGCAATCCAGGCTGGCGATTGATGCGGGCGTGGCGGGCGGTGATGCCGTCGAGGAAAACATCACCGCCATGCAGGGGCTGCTCATGGCGGTCAAGGATGTCAAGGTGTGGTTGCTGGGACTCACCTACCACGCGACTATCATGGGATTGAGTGTGCGTAGTATAGCCGTTGATGAGATCGTCTAGAAGGGGAGAGCAATTTTTGAACTCGGCTAACAATCTCCACAGTTCTCCTTTTTCTTCCCGACCATCACGCAGGCCCTCAACTATGACAGGACAACCACGCTCCTGCTCACCGCACCTCCCTGGATTTGGGCCATTCTCGTATCGCTCCCAAATGCCTGGCACGCAGACCGCACAGGAGAGCGCTTCTTCCACTACCTGGGCCCCGCCGTCATTTGCATCGTGGGATACATCATCTCCGCGACGACCACGACTGTGGCCCCGCGGTATATCTCTATGTTCATGATGACAAGTATGTCTCTTTCCCCAACCCCGCCAACCGTCTCCCACCCAAAATAAGTCATTGCTAACCCCACTCCTCCCTCCCCCCAGCCGGCTACGCCTCAGGCTTCGTCATGCTCGCCTGGATCTCCAACACAATCCCCCGCCCGGCCGCCAAGAAGGCGGCTGCCATCGCTATCGTCAACGCCATGGGCAACATCGGCAGCATCCCGGGCTCGTATATCTGGCCCGCCAAGTACGGCCCGCTGTACGTCAAGTCGTTTGGCGCCCAGATCGCCATCCTCGGCTTCGCGTGCGTGTGCGCACTCGTGCTGCGGTTCTACCTCGCCGCGCAGAACAGGAAGTTGGATAGGGAGGAGGGATTCTCGGTGGTTGGCGGGGAGGATGGCGAAAAGAAGGGTGATGCGCCGAGGGTGGGGAGGGGGTTTAGGTATCTTTACTAATGCGGCGGTGGGTGTTGGGCGGTTGGTCGTCGTGAAAGGTTGCTCGCCGTGGAAGGTTGGCTGTTGTTTTCGTCGGGTTGACGAGTTGGGATTGAATGTTGGAAGATTGTCAACGGAACCCAATCCAGTTTAATTTCTAATGACCTTTCTAGGAGTAGCCTACAGATGATGAGTCTAATATCGTGTATCCTAGTTGAACAATGCTCAAAGTGCTATGAGGCAAGTTGATGATCATCAAGGAGCCTGAACATCACAAAGAAGCGATGCTAAACCCCCTTTAACTCTCCCTTTATCTACGGGTGATACTCGAGAGTGACTTTCGTGGTCTCTTCGACAGTTCTCCAAGGTGGCTCGTCAGTTCCCCCCCTCCGCCTCCCCAGGCTCCCTCCCCTTCGCAACAAGACTCTTCAGCCTCCCCATCTCCTCCGACATCCACGCCGTCACGGCCACGATATCAGCCCCACAGTTGACAAAGTGGAACCCCTGCTCGTACCTCTGCGCCGCGACCTCAGCGCCCATGGCGAAGTGACCAACGTACTTCCCAGCAGCCAGCCCGGCCCTGAGGACCCGGGCCGCCGCCTCCTGGACCTCGGGCACGGACGCGTGGTCGAGCGCGAAGTGGCCCAGCGACGCGGCGAGGTCGTTCGGCCCCACGAAGAGCATGTCGATGCCGTCGACGGCGGCGATGGCCTCGACGTTCTGCACCGCCAGGCGGCTCTCGATCTGCACGCACACCATGACGTTGTCGTTGGCGCGCCCGAGGTACTCGCGCGCCGTCTGGTTGAAGGCCGCGGGCGCGAACATGCCGCCTGCGCCGCGGATGCCGCGGGGCCAGCGCGGGGAGGGGTATTTACAAGCCTGGACTATGGCTTCGGCTTGTTCCTGTCGGGGGGGTCAGACCTTTGCGTGTTATCCTCCAGGCTCAGGGGAAGAAGCGGGTTGCAAGGGCAAGAAAGGGGGTGGTAGTTGTTATTGTCCCACCTTCGTCTCACACATGGGGACCATGATGGCGTGGGCGCCGCAGTCCAGTGCCCGCTTTATCATCCAGTGCTCCGATGCGGCGATGCGAACGATGGGCGAGACGCCTGACGACGAGACAGCGCCGACTTGGAGGTACATCTCATTGTCGTCGATGTTGCCATGCTCGGTGTCGATGAGAACCCACTAGTTATAAAAAAGGCGCAATATGTGGGTTATCATCATGGCTGGGGCAAGCAAAGGAGGCAAGTCAGGGGAAATTCAGGGGGAAGAGAGCTCACATCTTCGCCCAGCGGAGCCACGGTTCTTGCGAGCGAGTACCCTGGAAACTCGAGCCATTGCCCTATGCTTGGGCCTTCGCCTCTCTTTGCGCGTTCGAGCGAGGCGCGGAGTCGTGTCTTGCCTGTGCTGTCCACGACTGGCGATGCTATCTGATTGGACATGTTCGTATATGCTGACAGGCTACCTATGTCAGGGAGTCTGAGGCAACTTTCTAGTTGTTCTCCGAGCCAGTAATGCACGGGACAGCGTGCAGGAGAAAATGGCCAGATTCCGAAGCGGAAAATATCACGGCTGCTGCAACGTCGGTGCAAGTACCCGACCCCAAACCCCAAATCGCTGCGCATTGCCTTATATCCACCGCCGGTCGGGCCTCGGCCCGCTAGGGTCGTAGGATCTTATATCCATAATTACGTACGAATGCTTGCAGATCTGTCTGCCATAGAGCCTTGTGACGTTGATCCAGACAGTAATTAGGGATAAATAACCGCCACAACCCCCAACAGCTAGGCAATTGTACCTCAAACCATGACTGGAAGATAACTGACTCGTGGAATAAAAGCATTGAGACTGACGTCAGCTCTCTTGATTGTTTGATGTAATTACTTTTGGAGACGGCAAATAGGGGTAGGGAACTGTCTGATAGCATGGAAGACGGTGGGATAAGAAACCATCGGACTTGGTTTTAGAAAGATTCCCAAATCCTGTAAAGATCCAAGTGATGAGCCAATAGAAGGTTCCTATCATAGGCCCCGAAACCCCTATACCGTTCTCGACAAGGCCGTCTCCACGCTTTCCCCCGAGTTAGGGTGTAACCACCCGTCGCTCTTGGGCTCGACATGCCTATATTAAACACCATTATCATCCCTCAACGACGTGTAATAATATTTCACTTCACAACGGGATTGGATTTGGACACGTCCGCCTCTCGCTGCGTATCGTATTGTAGGTTTTGCAACGCCATGTTGAGAATATTGGACTAGAGAGGCCCTGCACTGGGTGGAGCTCCCTGTAGCTTCGGGGCTTGATACCATCGCCTGCAGGGAGACGATATGATGACGATGAAGAATATTAGCTTCCGACGTTGCCTAGTGTGCAACAAGACGTATATCTCTACTAAACACGCAGAGAGGCGCATTGATATGCCAGGACGATGCTGGAGAGGTACCCAATGCCCCAGGACTGGTATCACGTACGCTTCTCCGACGAAACGCACTTCGGGATATCAATAAGGCCCCATGATTGGGATAACTGCTTCAGTATAACCCCCTCCAGGCTCTAAAAAACGAAGCATCCCACTCGTTGATCCTATTTGCCTTCAGCTCTCGGTCGATGAGCTGGTCAGTCTCGACAACGAAAATTTCCTTATCCTTCGAGAACAGTCTCTGGAGTGCTGAAGGATCGACTCGGCACTCTGTGTCATGAACTCTCCGCCATACGCCGCAATCCATATCAGATAGTGGATCTAAGACCCGAGTGAGGTATATGCCCACCAAGGGAGCTGTGCCATCGTCGAGCTTGGTCTCTGTGGTGCACCCGAGGACCGCAAAGTATAATTCGAAATCTCTTTCAAAGGGAAAACCGTCCTCAACCTTGAATAACGACAACCCACGAATCTGGAGACCCCAGTTGGTCATTGAAAATATAGCGCTCCCAGATTCGGGATGCTGTTGGATGTCGAATGATGTTCCGAATTCCGAGGGACGCTCTGCTAAGATGCCCGGAAATCTCTTCGGCAAGTAAGCGACCCAACAAAAGATAGATTGATCAGGAGTGGTTTTGATGATTTCGTGCTGCAGTCGTCGAAATGCTCGAAGAGGTCCTTCCCCATAAAGAACGGGCATGTTGACTTTGAAGATGCCCATGAGACTGTATGCCATATCCTCTGAACGTGTAGTCTCTCGCCGCGACGCCCAAGACATCTTCTGGGCAACAGAATACTGTTCGACGAAGCTTTGGCCGGACAGAAGTTCGTACGGGATCCTCGTGACTCTCGCCAGCTTCGTCAACAGTTGGCTTTCGTCGTCGTCGGCCTCGTCTCGCTCGAAATTATGACGCACGATGTTGGGACCTAAACTTTCCCAATCTTTGGAAAAGAATTTGACGTGTGTCGATGCTAGCAGCTCTTGTAGCGTCCAACCTCTTCCGAACCAGCGGCTCCGAGAAAATTGGTCGTTTTCGTGGGCCGCCGGGCTGTACCCATCGGCTTCGACATCGGAGAGATAGATGTAGCAGACGTCAGCCCACTGATACCATTTGTACATGGAGTTGATGGCCTCTGTGAGTTCTGCGCTGCTTCGCTTGTCGATGCAACAGGAGTCGATCCAGACGTACTTGAGCCCGTCTTTGGTGGCTTGGTCGCAGCATCTCTTGATCTTGGCAAAGCCCTTCTTCCGCCTCGTGCTCCTGAGATTGAGACGTATATCGTCGAATACGACCTCCTCCTCTCCCCAGGTATGAGACAGAATGGCATACTCGATGATGGGCAGGCCAGTCGCTATGGCGAGTTGTTCAATTGTCGTTCTGTGAACGAGGAGTTCATATTCGCTGAACTCTTCCAACTGCAGAGTCTTGACGTTGAGGAGTCGCATGTCGAGTCGGGGGGGGGTGGGGGGGGGTTTGAATGAATGGAGAGCGGATACACAGAAAACGAGATAGCGACCTTACGAAGTGAGATGAAGAAGAGCCGTGAAAAAAAGAAGAAAAACAAGTGAGGAGAATAAAAGGTTGAATGACAAAATGCAACTGCAGTGGTAAGCAAGGCACCAGGAGCGGCAGATTTAGGCAGCAGTTGTCCATACACCAGAAGTACATACACAGCCCCAAGAAATCACAGCAGTGGCTGGAGAGCACTGAGTCACTGCGCCAGCCACCTCTGAGAGGGCTTATGGGAGGAACATCCTCACTTCGCAGCGCTGCAATTTTAGCTTCCGCCCAGGGCCCCAGAGGGCGGAAGGACTGCTGGTATTTCCGGCGTTTTGGTGCTGCAATGTATTCTTCAGCGTCGCCTCGCACCAAGCAAAGCAGCAGAGTCCTACATGTCCCCGCAGAACACCCCAGCCCCCTTTGGTATTTTCAACCATGCCACATGTAAGTAAGCAAGGCAGACCAGGAAGGGGTGAGTTTAGGGTTAGTAAAGCAGAAATAAATCTCAGGCCAACACCAAAGGGAGCAATTAAAGCATTTTACAACAACAGGAATCAAAAGCAGAAGAAGGAGAGCCTACTCACACTACACAGTCGATCATCTCAACCAGCCCATCTCTTCATAAGCTAATAGAACTTCCCCACCTGCCACGGTATTTCGTACTTTGGACCCCCAATGCCGTAATCGGTCAGCCTAGTTGGGCCGAAGTCCGAGTTGGCGCAGCGGGGCAGTTGGACCCTATTTAACTAACAACGATGAATTTCCCTCGAGTCATTTCAGCACTGTGTAGACTTCACGGTGATCATAAACAACAATGGGAAAGACAAACCTCGAAGCGACCGTGTTGAGCGTCAACCGGGCTGGCACAAAATGCCTTCTGGTGCCGATGGATCTCCACAACCCAGCCGAGTTTGACGAATTCCTCAGACAGCGAATTTCATGCGGGTGGGACAAGGAAGTAGAGATCATAGAAGGCTGTCGAAAAAGAATGGACGACAAGACGAAGTTTCTTTTCTGGATCGTGCCCGCAGAACTCGCCGAGAGTCCCGGAACGAGCCGCTTTGCTGGCCACATCTCGCTACAGACCACGGCGCATCCGCCAGACCTTGAGCTGGCCAACCCAGATAAGACGGTCCTGATGATCTCTACCTTCTTCATCCTACCCGAGTATCGCCGTGGCGGACTGGGCAGAGCTGCTGTCCAGGCTTTGGAGGAACGTGCAAGGGTCGAACCGTACGGATCCCCGGCCTGCAGGGCCCTGGCTCTCACCGCTCTCAGTAGGAGGTATACCGAGGATGACGAGTGGCGTGGGTTCTACGCGGAGCGAGGGATGGAGGCTCCCGATAAGGGTTCTAGCATCGAGGATTGGTATACGAGGATGGGGTACGTTAAATGGAAGGAGGAGCCGAGGTATCGAGACAAGTTGCAGGATGGAACCGAAATTGTGCTCCTTGCATCGTTCCTGAGGAAGGAACTTCGCTGAGGGGGAGGGTGGCAAACAACTGGTCGGGAAGCCCGAAGGTGTACGCCATGTCTGCCATATTTTCAACTTGGTAGTCCACTTGATGGGAAACATGAAGTCAGCTTTCAGAGATGTCTCTATTTCTGGGATTTGGGATAGCTAAGTCTTTAAAAAGCGGTACGACTTTTATAATGGTTGGCCACGTATGAAATATTCTCGTACACGATACTCTTGGCTTCACCAAGCATAAGTAAGGCCAAGACTTACCCCAAGTCTAACCCAAGCTCTAATCCCAAGGCTAACTTTAAACCTAAGCCTAAGCCAAGCCTCAACCCCAACTTCAACCTGAAACCTGAACTTCCTAACTAGGCTTCCTTGTCTGAGACAACCTTTTACCAAGGGCTCACAGACTAGCACATCACGCTAGGCGTTTTCTCCTCCCCATCATGGACTAGCGATGTGCGGAGCCTCCCGAGGGGGCAAGTATTGTGGAAGAGAGATAAGGTCTCAGAGTTGACGACCTACTCGTTGACCAGCGAGAAAATTTGCCCTAATAAGTAGGTAAGTCGCGCATACAGCAATTCAAAGGGCGTTAGGCGGATGAGCAAATAGAATCCAAGTGTCAGCCTATCGGACTTTAAGAGCTACGCTTCACAAATACAAGCCCGTGGCATACCTGGGCTACGGAGATAGGGTCCTGGTTATGAGATGGACGCTAGAGTTTCTGGGGAATATTGGCAATTTAACTACCCTTTTTCTCACCGAGCCCAGTGCGTGTACATATCCGCAGTCTTTGGTTTTCCTAGTCAGTTCTTGCGCCATCTTCTCGACAAGTCAACTCCGTCACGAGCTACAAGCATTCGGACGGAAACAAACCCCCAAATAGGCATCTGCGAAAGATAGAGTGGTGGCTGGCATCGCATCCACTCTTGGGGTATCGCGGGGAAAAGGCCAAGACTCAAGGGCCAAGACTGAGAAGGTCTTGGCACCTGCCCCTTATAGTTATTACTGACGGAGCTCGCCATTGGCCAAGAACACACCAACCGCGGGAACCAGTTAGAGTTCCTGATCCGTACTATAGATGCCATCTAGATAAATTCTATATTGCTACCCTGCCGCTTATCTTGTGTGGTCGGGCCCAATCGCAACCTTATGCTGAAAAGTATAAAGAGGAACGTCATGGAAGTCGAAGATGGCATCCGTTGCAATCGACTCACCTCAACAGCTCTTCGCCGTCAAAACACTGCCGTCATTCCCACCGTAGGCATCGATCGTCCAGCATACAAGGTGTCAATATGAGGAACTTTCTACCCCTCGCGGCAGTGTTGGCAACATCATGCCTCGCCACAGACCCTCTTACGCCAGACAAGGTGGAGGCAGACATCAAGACCGACGAGTTGAGTTGTCCACGCCCCCGTTTCCTCGGCCCCAATCTTGACTGACACCGCATCAGGCTCCAGCGCAACCTCTGGAACCTCAACAAGATTGGGCGCGACAACGGCGGCAACCGGGCGTTCGGCACGCCGGGGTACAAGGCGTCGCTCGAGTTCGTGCTGGAGCGGGCGCGGACGCGCTTCGCAAAGGAGATGGACACGTGGGTGCAGCCGTTCACGCACACGTTCGAGCAGACGCGCGAGATCTGGGTGCGCGGGCCCGACGGCAAAGACGTCTATGTCATCACCCTGCTCTACAACCACCCGACGCCGCTGCCTGGCGGCGTGAGCGCCCCGCTGGTTGACACGCCCGTCGATAATGATCGCGGGTCTGCCTGCTTCGCTGACCAGTGGGAGGGCATTGATGCTGAGGGGAAGCTGGCCCTTGTCAAGAGGGGCGTGTGCCCCATCTCCGATAAGCTCAAGCTCGCGAGGGCGCACGGGGCGCTGGGAGTTATACTGTACAACCAGGACCCGGGCGTTGACTACGGAAGCGCGACTCTCGGCGCCGAGAATATCGGGCAGCTGGTTCCCGTTGGGCTCATCCCGCTGGAGGTTGGGACGGCGTGGAAGTCGAGTCTCGCGGCCGGGGAGGAGGTGGTCGTCACCTTGCTTGTTGACTCCATCTTCGAGGAGAAGGAGACGTGGAATATCATCTCTGAGACGAAGGAGGGCAGCCCGGACAACGTCATCATGCTGGGTGCGCATCTGGACAGTGTTCAGGCCGGTCCCGGTATCAACGACGACGGCAGCGGAGTCACGGCCCTGATGGAGATTATGGGCTCGTTCAAGAAGTACAAGGGATTCCCGAACAAGGTCCGGTTCGCGTGGTGGGGCGCCGAAGAGAGCGGGCTGGTCGGGTCGCTGCATTACACGTCCCAGCTGACGGAGAGCGAGGCCGACAAGATCAAGTACTACTTCAACTACGACATGATCGCCTCCCCTAAGCCTTTCTACCACGTTTACCAGGCCAACAACAGCGGCGTTGGCGCGGAGGCGTTGCTGGAATATGTCGCGTCACAGGGCAAAGACGCGGAATACGGGTAAGCACACCCTTTCCCCCACGTAACAGGACAAATCCCAAGCACAGAACACAGCGCTGATATCTCCTTCTTCCCACCAGATCCTTCGGCACCAGCTCCGACTACGTCGGCTTCCTCGAGCTCGGCATCCCGTCGTCAGGCCTCTTCACCGGTGCCGGCGCCCCCGAGGACCCATGCTACCACCTCGCCTGCGACACGCTGGACAACATCGACTGGGACGCCCTCACCGTCAACGCCCGGGCCGCCGGCCGCGCCGCCGCCAAGCTGGCCTTGTCCCTCGAGGGCGTGCCGGCGAGGAGCAGGACGACGCCCAACCTCCGCGGCAGGGCGGGCATGGTCGAGAACTTCCGCCGGTGGGAGGCTGCTGCTAAGGAGGCGGCGCATGGGCATAACTGCGCGCATAAGAGTAATAATGTTGTCTGATAGTTGGACTGGTTTTGCCGTCCGTTGGAATCATGATGGGCGAGGCGGATATTAGTGCCCAACTTTACTATTCTCCACCATTGCAGGCGTTAGGCATTTGGCGAGAAGCATTTGTATCAGGCGTGGATAGGCGGGTGTGGTGGTGTGGTGTGGTATTTTGCGGTGTTGGGGGGGAAGGGGCCGAGGCGGAAAAGGGGACGAGCAACGGTCGGGGTTGTGGAAATAGCAACGAAATTTAGACAAAATCAGAACAATGCCACGAACGTATATTTTAACGCTGATACCCTACCGAGCATTCGCCTTGACAAGACTAGTACAGGTATAATCCACAATCTTGCTGTGCCAAATGCGGGCTCTAGTTCGGACTGGCTGGGTCAATCTGGCGGGGGGAGGGGCGAACAGGCCTATGACCTCAGATATTCGCAGACACTCTTGCCCCAACGAACGGCACCCTTGTACACGGACATACCAGGTGCGTTACCCGACTTCAATCCTTCTATGGCGTCGGCAAGTTGCGGTCCCAGGCCCTCCTTTTTGATGTCTGCCACTGGATATAAATACGTCTTGAATGAAAAGAGGATTGCTCGGGTTTTGGGAAGTCGTGTCAAGGTCTGCAGTTCTATCCGAACACGAGACTGACTCGGTCAGCTTATGGAGCTAGGGGATTGCTTTGGCGGCGTTTGGGACATACAGATTCAATATCAACATCTTCGTTCTCTTCGAACGGCTGTTCGCGGTAGATGTGGTGTCCTTGCGGGGTAAAGAGCTTTGGTTCCGTCGCCACGGACCACTGTTCGGAAAGTGTGTCAGCTGATATCCGTGAGAAGGGACCCCGTGAATCACAGCGGTTCCCGTTTGCACTTACATTGACTCGCTTGACGCTCTTCCCTACTTCAAGGCGACTGAAAAGCCGTTCCATGGACGGACCAATCTTCTCGTAAGAGGGGACTGGCTCATGGATATCCTTCAATACCTTGCCTAGCTTCGAGGATGGATCGAAACCTGAGGGAAAACAGCACAGAAAAGCGACCAATCGATGGCCATCGCTCGTCTCTTGTAGGAGAAACATGTCGTCCTCCACAGTCTCACCCAGTAGCCTGAATGAGGCCAGTGGATCTCCGGGTGGCCGAGTTGGAACGGCCTTTTTAGTGACATGGTTCAGCATTGTGCCGCTGTTCTCGCTCAAGGTGAACATAGTCGGGTATCTTGCGGGAAGATAATCTCCCACGAGAAAGGAATACAGCTCTTGGACGGCATCGCATCCCGGTGGCGTTGCGCCCATTACTGTCGATTCGTGGATCCTCATTGTGTCCCGACGTTCCAGCACCCGATCTTTGTAATTACTATCGATAATAATAAGGTCGGATGGCGCATTTGACTGCAGGGCTGAGAGAGTCAGTCTTGGATCTCAAAACCGCGGCAGAGGATCTACCCATGGTGATGAAGTAAATGGGCTTGAACGGCCGAAACTTCAAAGGCGCCATTTTCTCCCAGTCGAATGATTTCAAGGGCTCGATCTGGAGCTGTCGGGGAGTTGCCTTCTCTGTAACTAACGGTCGTGACGTGAGACCGAGCTTCTCCTGCCCAATAGCAGTCAGCATTTCCTGAATCAACTTTCATATCAACCTCCTCTTACCTTCCCTCGTACCCACGGCTGGGATCCGAAGAACAGCTTATATCCAAAGAGGATCATAGCAAGCCCAAAAAGGGCGCCAAAGAACAAGGCGGCCATATGCACCACCTCCAAGACTATCACAAGTAAAGAATGGGATGTTGAAGTTCAAAGAAACACAACGAGGTTTGAGGGTAGGTAAAGGAGGGGTCTTCAAGACGACCCCCTCATCAACTCACTTACCTAAGCCTCCCTGTCGATCGTGGCAACCCCACCTCAGTCCCCAACTCACGATAGTCTGGTTTTGGCTCTCCAGGGTTGATTTCGATTGAATTCAAAGGTGTGACCAGAGGGGATATCATTGCATCGTCAAGCGAGTTCTCCTTCTGAGACAGAGGCGGTATTGTTACCGTTTAACTCGGCATCCTGGGTAGTTTACCATAAATCGTGTTTACTTTGTTGTACTCTGCGCTTCTCCTGGAAACATAATCCACAAACCAACCCGAGATCTGCATCTTCCCTTTCCTCTTGCTTTCATACGTACCCAGCGCGACCTATAGATACCTCACGAGTACCTACCTACTAACATCCTCGACCACCTCAGGCATATTTCAGATACGGTCTGATTTTATCTGCCAGCTCCGCAGCCTCCCTCTCCCGCCCGAGACGCCGGTAGAGTCTACCTAGCATCAAGGCCGTCTTGATGGTGGCGGTTTGTTCTGGTCCCATGCCCAGCATCTTTGCGTCGAACGTCTGCTTAGCGACGCGGATGGCTTCGTTGACGTCGCCTTTCGCTTCGTGGAGGCAGGCCGTTGCATATCGGTTCAGCAGGGCGAATCGTTCAAGGGGCCCGACACTCTCATTCATGCCGGCCTGTGTCTCTTCGACCAGTCGCTGCGCTTCCGCCCACCGGCCCGTTGCCGTGTACAACATGGCGAGATGCGTGTCGATTTTCAGCACGGACCGTCCGTCCGAAACGCGGCTCTCGATATCCCGGCTGCGGACGAGAAGCGCCTCCGCTTGCGCCGTGTCTCCCGCATCCCGAAGCGCCACGCCGAGATTCATAGTCGCGGTTGCTACGTCTTCCTCCCGCCCCGGCATCGCCTGGAACCGACGCATGGCATCGGTACACGATGCTATCGCTTCGCCCAGCAGGCCCTGATCCCATTGCGCCAGTCCACGCGAAAGCGCCATCTCGGCTTGGGCTTTTGCCAGGAATTCCCCGTCGCCGCGGTGGATCAAGGCATCTTCAAAACGGTCCAAGATGGACATGGCTGCGTCCATGTCGCCAATGGAGTAGTACAGATCGAACATCCTGGACTGAAACATGTATTTCAGGTTCAGATCCATGTCGTCCCACAGCTGCATGACTCGGGTTTGGGTGGCAATTGACTTGTGCAACTGCATCGGTGGCACCGGAACTTCCAGTACGTCGGGTTGAGCGCCTCTGTAGAACCCGTCCAGAGAGAGGAGCCTCGGAATAGTGAATGGGTGCGTAAGGCCAAAATACTCCTCTGAGCGAGCTACAGATTCGATCAAGACCCTCTCAGCATCATCCCAGCGCCGCTGCAAACAGTACACCAGAGCAAGATTACCGCGGGCCAACACAGATAGATGAACATGTTCGTCGTCGTCGGCGTCCTGTAGCTTTGAGAGGAGGCCGTTCAAAAGCACCTCGGCTTCTTCGGCCCGACCTTGAGCAGCGATGCAGAGAGAAAGGTTGAGTTCTGTTTGTAATGTTTGCAGTCCCAAAGGATCTCGAGATGCCTTGGCCGCGTGGATGGACCACATGAAAGGCTCTGCCTCGGCCCATCGCCGCCGAAGAATCAAGTTAGTGCCCAAGTTGTTTCCGATTGAAAGTGTGTCCGGATGGTTCTTGCCCAGGTACCGAATCGAGTGCGCAAACGCGCGCCGGAAATATTTCTCGGCTGCCTCCGGGGATGTCTCCGTCTCAACGGCGGTGGCCAATCTTTGAAGCGCGTAAATGGTGAGTTGGTGCCGTTCTCCTCGGTCTCGTAGCAGTGACCGATGCAATACGGAAAACGTGCCTTCTCCACCTGGTCGCTCCGTGTCCAGAAGAGCGCGGCCGACAACGTCCATGGAGCAGAGAATGTCGACACCCACCTTGCAATCGCGATCTCGATTCGCAAAGCCAGATAGAATCGAAACGCAATTGGCCAAATGCTGCGTTGCTTGAAGCCACATAGCCTGGCGTGGCGTGGATTGGTCGATGGTCCGGGCCACGCAAATCAGAGCCTCGTCCTGATACTGATGCGACCCAAGACTCTCTTCCCGGTTCTGACACCAGGTCTGAACAAGGGGATGAATCACGAGCCCGTCTTGGTTACTGTTCTCGGAAGCCAAGGAGAGCTCAAATATGGCCTGAAGAGCATGCTCAAAGCCGAATTCGTGTTCAAAGAGTTGCTTCAGAACCGGGATTGGGGTCAATACCAGGCGGCGGCTCTGTGGGCTCGACCTCGCACCTTTAGTGAGCCATCCAACGGTTCTGGTCACGAGCTTTTTTCGGCGACCGTCCCATAGATTATTCCAGACATTGGCTCGGCTGCCGTCGATTCGAGAAGCAGCGGCAAACATGGCGTATGGAACACTTTGAGCGTTGACGAAAGAGCATATTCGCAGAAGGTGGGCTGCGGCCGGGTGAGATTTGACAAGCGCGCCGAATGAGACCTCCCAGGTAGAGAACACTGTGTACTGGTAGTTCCACGCCGACATTGGCGGTCTATTTCGCAGAAGTCGAACTCTCTGGGCCTTGTACAGCTGAAGGTACACTCTCGGCGAGACCTTGACTGTGGCCAAGTACGACCCCGCCTGGGTAATAGCGAGAGGAAGGCCGCCGAGCTCGTCGGCGATCAAGCGACAGAATCTCTTATCTTAGTCCTTATTAGCCAAGACGAAATTGTTTTTTGATACTGACACGGTCGCGGAAGTGGTTGAACCGACCTTCCTCGACCTCGAAGCCTCCCATTTGCTGAAGAATGGAGGTCGCATCTCCCGACGATAGTGGTTTGACTTCCAGGCTCGGACCGAGAAGGATCGCGTGAGTCTGGCGCGATGTGATGAGTATGTCGCCACTCGGGGCCTGCGGGAAATAGTTCGGCAGGTTTACGTCCTCCAGGTTGTCCGCACTGTCAAAGACGAGTAGCCAGCCGCGGTTTTCTGGGCGCGACAGCCACCTCCTCAGAGCGTCGACAATGATACGAAGCGTAGCGGTATCCTTGGCAGCCACATGCCCCGTTGCAGGGTCCACCACCTGTGCGAGACCTAGTTCGAGCCCAATTCTGGTGAAATTGACAGTGGATCCCTGGATACGCGCGGCCCAGTCGACGATGGACTGCGCCATTGCAGCGAAGCCGTACAGGATGGAACTTTCCGTACTCGCATCGATCCAGAATATAGCACGGTATATCGAAGACTCCTGAAACGCGTATTTCAAGGCGACCTGCGTTTTACCGACGCCTCCTAGTCCATACAGCACAGCTAGGCGTTGTGTTCCAGGTGTCTTGCCGGCCGCGGCGAAAGTGGCCTTAATCCAGGACAACTCGTCATCACGGCCGCGGAAATTCCTATGAGGCACTGATGGAATCAGTTTGTCGGGGAGTCGAGAGTTTTGTAGGTCGATCTATGATCGATTAATCAGTCCAAATGAACGTCGTCTCCTCTTCGCCGGGTTACAAGACCTTTCCATCGCTGTGCATGGTCTGATCATACTCGGCTTCGTTCGAGGCCGACGGCGGTTCTAAGCCCAATTAGTACTGCTTCCAAGAAAGCAATGCATGAACTCGTCTAGAGAGCATCGAAGCTGTTGTAAGGGGGCACTTTACCGCTTGATGTCGTGGAACTAGTTGGCCCCCCCGAGGTGCTTGCTACCCGAGGAGGAGCACTTTGAAGATATGGCGTTGCCACAACGCCTTTCCCTCGCCCTATTTGATTCAACCATCTCCGCAGTACACTAACTACCAGCCGGTAGTCATCATTGTCTCTGGAGGCGAAACGACACATTGCCATATGATCTGCATGGATAACAGATTTGCCCTCGCAAGCATCCCCAATGATGGATGAAGACGACTCCACAACCTAAGGTCGGCAGTATTTTAGTACATTATCCGACGACAGATGGTCCGTATCGAAACATTAGAGCTTACCTTGCTGCCCAGGCTGGAGACTGGTAGACCCTCTTGAAAACTGTAGACAGCGAGCCCCTTGCCATCTCTGGGTAGCATCCTGCTGAATGAATCCGCGATTCTTTCTAGCTCCGGTGAGCCTTGTTCAAGAGCTCGTAGCAGATGATTCTCGTTCTTTGCCAATCCCAAGCCGGCGATTCGCGCAGCGAGGTGGCCGAGGCTAGCCAACTCGCTTCCGCGATGGGGCGTTCCAAAGAACATTATGCCGAAAGTCATCTCGAAGACAGAGTAAAGGTGTGGCTGGAAATCTCGTTGATCCTGTGCGAACTTCAAGCCCTGTCACAACATGAAGTGTCAGATCCTATCCTACACGTAGCCAAGGTCGCGGACCGGATCGATCACGCCCGGGGCCCGAGACTAACGTCTTTCACCACAATTCCTCCCAGAGAATGCGCGACGAAAATGATGGGAATAGAGTCCTGAGGAGTTCCAAGCGTTAGTATCGAGGTTCACAGAATTCGGTGCGTGGCTACGCACGCCACGTAGAGATTCCCGAGCTGCAGCAAGCCGGACGATCAAATCCTGAGCAGCCGAGAAGATGCTGTTGTTTGCGCTCCGGCTCATTACAGTCGCAATACTTGCGTCGTAGCCGAATGTGAATACCCTGATGTTGGGCACATCAAAAGGAAGCAAATCACGCGGCCAAAAGACATCGCCGCCGGGTGCTGTTTCATCGCTTTCGCGGCGCTTGCCCCCTGCCTTGATACTTTTCCAGAACGGTTTGGATTCCTTCAACTGCCTTGTGGCCCACGTACGGCGGCGGTCCCCTCGAAAGCCGTGGACGAAGACGATGCTAGATTGCCAAGACTCGTCAGTTGCCATTAACAACGCATTATAGACGCCAAAGCCCGGAAACGCTTACTCGGCGGCTGGTTCATCACACAAATGAACAATCTCAACCCCATAACTTGGGCGGGTAGCCATTGGTGATTACCTGATTGAGCGCAGTGTTCGGTGTCTGACGAGAGTATGTCGTCTGGGGTGATGAGGCTCGACTGCGGCGATGCCAAGGAGTGGCAGCCTGGGCGGCTGAGAGTTGGACTAACTGTCTTTGGCAGCACACATACCTGGCCAATCAATGGGCTCCCCCAAGACTCTACATCTGACCGGGTAAGGTACATGTAGATGTACATGGACGGCGCCATTTTTTCAGCTCAAGAGGCGCACAGCAACTGGGTAGGACAACAATCTGTGCGTGGCGGGCGATTGCTGCTGCTACTGCTGGGAGGCGTCGTCAGAGAGAGGAGGTGACGATAGAGCTTAGGAGAGAGGCAATGGGAGGAGCAACTTTCCACGGAGGAGAGACCTGGGTCCACGAGAAGCTCGATCTGCCCCCCCTCCAGCAACTCAAGAGCTCGCCTGACCACCCCCCGGCTGGTATAGTACGTGCCGAGGGGTTTGGTGAGATAAGAGTGATTTGCTTGCGCATTGATTCCTCCGTCACATGTTGATAGACCACTGGGTGTCAGGGCAGTAGGGTGTGATGATTATTATGGCTCGGACTCTGATTCTGAAAAGTATTATCCTCACTTCAATGCCTTTCGGTTTCTTCATAACCCACACTATGGCGTCTGAGTGCAACTCGATCCAGCGCTGAGTTCTGTTTTCGTTGCATCTGTTGAGGATGTAAGTCAGTTCCATGCCCTGAAGTCTTGGTCATGGGAAGCATGCCGGTCGTGGTGCCGTGACATTCTAGTGACTGGGCAGGGGCTGGTATCTGCTTTAAACTGCCTGTGCTGTCATAGTGATGCTGGTTGACCGTTGTATCTGCCTAAGGAGGTGGAATAGAGGTCGTAGTTTATGGATTACAAAATGTGAGTTTCTCCCGAGAGAAAATATGACATCTCACCCCCCCTAGCCAAGGATGGCTGCCTCCTACGCTGGGGTGTCGATTTCCGGCGTCTCCTTTGCCTTTTCTTCGACACCGTTTCCATTCACCGTCTCCTGTTTTGCTTTCAGCCTCTGTTCCCTCTCGAGACGACTCTCGCTCTTCGGATCAAAATATGCTACGACTCGAGTTAGTGCCAACCGACTCTCGCTGCGCGTCCGACCGGGGCAGGTTCACTCACGTTTCTCGCCAAAGACGGTCGTCCTAATCCCCCGCCGGGGTGCGTCATATGATCCCGGAATAACACGATGCAGAGTGCATCTTTGGCCACAGGTTAGCCGTACTCGAAGCTAAATGGAAACGGGCAAAATCCGTACCTGTTGTCCCACATCGCGACGCTACCCACAGCCCACTTCCACCGCACAGCATGATCATCCGCAGAATGGATGTGGTAGGCGAAGAACTCGAGCAGCTTATCGGACTCGTACTTCTTCAGCTCGGCGAAGCCCGTGACGAATCCCGGGTTGACGTTAAGCGCCTTCAGACCCGTGACCGGGTGCGTCCTGACGGCCGGGTGGTGGGAGTCGACGGGCTCCCTGTTCGGGCCGACCCCCCACAGATCGATGATGGTGTCGTACTGCAGGCGCGACGTGTGCACAGCATGCAGGCCGTCGGCGAAGCGGCGCATGGCGGCGCTGAGGGCGTCGTACAAGCCGTACTGCGACACCCAGGCGGTGTCGCCGCCGACGGGCGGGTGCTCCTCCATGCGCAGCAGCGAGTACGACGGCGGGTTGGTCTCGAACGACGTGTCGGCGTGGAAGTCGCCCGACGGCCAGGGCGTGTAGCTGAGGATCTCGCGGTGGTCCTCGCGGCTGCCGCGGATCACCACGTGGCGCGCGTCCTTCTGCGCAGGGTGCCGGTCCAGCACGCCGTAGTGCTCGAACAGCCGCTCCTGGCCCGCCGTCGTGAGGTCCTGGTCGCGGAAGAAGACGACGCCACGCTCGGCCACGAGAAGGGCCAGCTCGTCTAGTTGGGTCGGGGATAGCGCCGAGAGCTGCACGTCCTCGAGCACGGTGCCGATCGACTCGGTCAGGTCGACGCGCCGCGCAGCCGAGAGGAGCGCCTTCTTCTCCGGGTCCGCGAAGCTCGCCCGGTCGGGGCTGGGGTCGATCTGCGCGCGGGGCGGCTCCGGCGGGACGTGGGCGCGGATCTTGGGGTTGAAGGCCGGGTGGATGGTGACGGGGAACCCGGAGTCGGGGGAGATGTGCTTGCGGGCTTCAAGGTGGGCCATGGTTGCTATTGTTGGTTGTGTCGACTGCTAGGGGGAAATGAATCGCGAAAGAACGCCTCAGCTTCAGAGTTTGGAACATGCATTTCCTACTCTACTCCTCCTTTATGGTCATCCCACACCACCTAGGAATGGATTGGCTTGTTCGTAAATCCGACGAGGGCGAACTCCAAAGCTTGGATTCCCCTCGCCGGAACTCGGTTGAGGTTTCCCCATTGCTCCATTAACCCTGTCTCTGGTGTGCTCAAGTAGTATGCATATTTTGTTTCAATAGTATGACGAGGGAGCGCTCCCTCGATTGCGCCATGAGTGCTCCAAATGAGACGACGGTCCATCTCTTGCTCCGATTAGTTGGCGATCGCAGGATTCCCCCACGCACCAACAGTTTATTAAATAGTTCGTAATGTCAGAAAAGGCAAGGTAGCCAAGAAACGCCACGGCATTGAAAATATTCCCGATACCGTGGCGATGGATCCGCATTTGCCGGGGCGGGCTGAACTCTGAAAACCAGCCCATTCGAGGACATGGCGCACACGGCTGGATGTTGGTTATTCGGCACCCTTTCCCTTTTAGGCACCTTTGCAAGTCGCTAGTGAGGTGATTCGCAATCCTGGGCTACTGTGAGGGGGGTTGGCTGGCAGCAAGGTCGAGGGATTTATGCGCGTTGAAGATGGCGTGACGCGTTTAGCGGATGGCATCAACGCCAACAAGGGTCTAGCCCAGGCATCTCGTTGACGGGGATGGGTGCCGACTTCCTGACAGGCCATGCATCTAGCACGCAAGCCGATACTAGCAGGGCAATAATGCCGATTTTTCTATTCCCTATTCCCGATTGCGAATGGTGCCTGTTGGACCTCGGATTCGAAGAGGGGCGAGCGGCTGGGTTGGAGTCGCAACCCAAGGGGTGCGTCCTGCTGCAGATGAGGGTATGAGGAGATGGTCAATAAAACCCCTCGGTGCAGACCTTTCTGCACATTGTACAACCCAAGTATCTCAGTATCTCAGTATCTCCGCGGTGATCGACAGTTTCCTGCTGCAAATCCGGAGCCATGGCGCAGTCACACAGCGAAAGCATACTGGTGGATGAGAAGCACATCAACGCCGCCATAGAGAGCCAAGGCAGCGGGAGCGATGTCGGGAGCATTGAGCCGGACTGGACTGAGGAGGAGGAGAAGGCATTGGTTAGGAAAATTGATTTCCTGGTGATGCCTCTCCTGATGCTCAGCTTCTTTGCGCTTCAAATGGATCGCGGGAATATGTAAGTGCTGCCCTCAGTTCCCTTTATTCTTCTTCTTTTATCCCTCTGACCTTTTCACGCAGCGGAAATGCCTTGACCGACTTCTTCTTTGCCGATGTTGGAATTACCCAGAACCAGTTCAACATTGGACAACAGCTCCTTTCACTTGGCATTGTCCTTCTCGAGGTCAGTGGCACAGTCCCAAGCCACATGGTTCCTCTCCTATTTAACGCTCACCATCGGTTTAGATACCCAGCAACTTGGTTCTGTATAGAGTTGGGCCTTCCTTATGGATTGGATGCCAGATAGTTGCATGGTGAGCTTCTTGAGATGCCCGAGACAGTCGAGTTGCTAAGACGAAGATAGGGGTCTTATTGCCACATTCCAGGCATTCCAGAAAGGCCTTGGTCCGTTCTTGGCCACCAGGTTATTACTTGGGTACGAACTTGCCCAGCCAGAAACACAATTATATGATACACAAGTAGCTAATTGTGTCCAGGTTGGCCGAAGCCGGGTTTATTCCTGCTTGTCTCTATACCATCACAAGGTGGTATAAGAGAGATGAAACCAGCACTCGGTTCTCCTGGGTCTTTATTGGGAACCTCTCGGCAGGTGCTACCACAGGGCTGATTGCCTACGGGATGTGAGTCTGTCCGCTGGAGTGCCCGTTTTTGTATCTTCAACTAACAGCTTGCAGATTGCAGATGCGCGGCATCGCCGGCCTTGGAGGTTGGCAATGGCTGTTTCTCGTGAGTATATGGTTCCCCAGCCCACACTCCACACGATGGGGAATAATTACATGTCTAATCCTTCCCCAGATCGAGGGCATGTTCACCGTCGTTGTTGGAATCATCTTCCTCCTGCTGTTCCCTCAAAGCACGAGCAAACCAGTATCACTCGTGGGAATCCGGCTCTTCAGCGAGCGCGAATCGTATATCTTAACCAGCCGCGTTCTTGCCGACGACCCTCAGAAAGAACACGCAAAATCCTACGTTACTCCGGCCGAGCTGAAGCACACGGCAAGTTGCCCCCAACAGCTACTTCCTCGATGGACAGTGAGCTGACAGCGTTGCAGTTGACGAACTGGAGGCTAATCCCCCATGTTATCGCAACCATCTGCGGACTGGCGCCCATCTCAACAATGATGTCATACGCACCAACATTAGTCCATTCGTTTGGCTACGAGAGACTGAAGTCCAACGCAATGGCATCTATTGGGGCTTTCATCCTGATCATAATAACCGTTGCCTGGGGGCACATTGGGTAAGTTTCGGGTGGTTCACTATGGGACACACTCTCTTACTCATTGCGTGTCTAGGGATAAACTCCGCCTTCGCGGCCCGTTAGTAGCCCTCGGGTTGTTCATTTACTGGGGTTTTGTCGTGAGTCCATTCCCAACAACCCCCCCCCCCCGGGGGGGGGCCCAACTGCTGCACATTGAACTGGATCCGGACTAACCTTGTTGGTCGTGGCTCAGCTTGGAGACCGGCTCTTGGTCGAATCCCACAACCCAACCAAGAGATTTGCGCTATTGACCCTGACGATCTGCTTCGGCAGCAATTGGCGTAAGTCCCTCTCAACCGACCCCCTTTGATGGCTACGCTAATGCGAGATAGATCCGATACATGGCTCATGGCTGGCGTTGAATGCCCGCACGGCTGGAGAGAGATCGATTACGATGGCCATATTCATCATGGCAGCCAATACGTCCGGGATCGTCGGCAGCCAACTGTTCCAGCAGGAGGACGCGCCTTTGTACCGAACCGGTTGGACCATCATCACCGTCCTTGTTTCCGTGTCACTCTTGGCTTCGCTGGTGTCTAATATCCAGTATCGTTTGTTGAACCGTCGACAAGGCAACAAAGCCCCTTACCACCTCTAGGCCTTCCGGAACCCCAGGATCGGGGCTTGAAAAGGAGATTTCGGATAGAGAAGGGGTTATTTTTATTTTACATGCTTTTGGCTGTTGCTTTCCAAGACCTGGGAGATTCACCTCGGAGCAACACCTCTGGATTAACGATGTCTAACGTATAATAATGAAATAGACATTTTTGTCTAGGAAATATTAACCGGACGGTGTGCCTTCTTCCAGCTTGGCTTTGAGGGGTAGGTTGGGTGTTACTACCTTGTGTTCAACCTGCCGCGCTCCGGCAAAATTGGCTATGGACCCAAGGATCTGACCATGGTGAAAGCTTATTGGTTGGGGGAAAGATGTTGGGAGACTCATAACCAGGCGCATGGGGATGGGATGCAGGGGTCCTCCATTTGGATAGTTCCTGGGAACACTAGCCTCAGGAGACGATATCATTCTAGGAATGCCAGCGCAACCCAAAGTGGTATTCGGTGTTGAGTAGGGATCCGTAAGTGATAATGGATCGACTCTATGCATCCAGGCGCTCCAATCAGGGCCCGGAACTGAGAGCAAGAGTCCACAACCCCCCGCCAGGTACCCGGAAATGCGACATACCCGGTTTAAATGCATGGCCCCGCAATTAATACTTACCCATCATACTACAGTAGATTAGCCGGACTGCCATGGTCCCTGGATCCTACCGTCGACGTATAATGTGTTATAAAAAGAGGAGGGTCGACCCCCTCTACACAATGTCGGGGCCTCCCCTTGTTCCTATGTCGATCTGCTGCAGTCACAGTAGCCCCAATGGTGTCTCTCAAGTCGGCCGTACTGGCCGCGTCTTACATGGTGGCCTGCATTGCCGTTGAGATCAAGGTGGCTTCTTCAGGGGGCAATGCCACGAGTGGGCACCAGTATGGCTTCCTGCATGAGGTGAGGGCGACTGATACTTTCTGTTTATCTTTAATAAAAAAGGCCCCTACTTGCTTAGTCCTGACCCTCCTTCCTAGGATATCAACAACTCCGGCGACGGCGGCATCTACGCCGAGTTGATTCGCAACCGGGCATTCCAGTTTAGCCCCCGGTATCCTGTCTCTCTGGATGGCTACCGCTCTGTCAATGATGCTGTATTGACCCTCAAGAATTTGAGCGATCCGCTTTCGGATGCCCTTCCGACATCCATGAACGTCGCGGCCGGCAAGGCATGTGGCATCGTCGGCTTCTTGAACGAGGGCTTCTGGGGCATCGACGTGAAGAAACAGAAATACACCGGGTCTTTCTGGGTAAAGGGCTCTTACGAGGGCGTGTTCACTGCATCTCTTCAGTCCAACTTGACCGCCCACGTCTTCGGGACTGTTGAGATTGAGTCCAAGGCCTCCCCTAATGAGTGGGTTGAGCACGAGTTCGAGTTGGTTCCGACAATGGATGCCCCCAACAGCAACAACACGTTTGCTCTTACCTTCAATCCAGAAGTATATCCCGTCAGTCATCCTGGCCTTACACGTTTTCTGACCTGGTGGTACAGGGAGCTGCCGACGGATCGCTGGACTTCAACCTGATCAGTCTTTTCCCACCAACCTACAAGGGACGGAAAAACGGTCTGCGCATTGACATTGCGGAGGCATTGGAGGAACTGCACCCGGTAGAGAAGCTCAATCAGCACTTTCTAGATGGTACTTCGAATAGCTGACAGCCCGGGTAGTCAGTGCTACGCTTCCCCGGCGGTAACATGCTCGAGGGAGACAACAACCAGTCTCGATGGAACTGGAAAGACACTCTTGGCCCCCTTAGAAACCGGCCGGGTTTCCAGGGTGTCTGGGGTTACCAACAAACTCACGGTCTTGGACTCATGGAATACCTAGAATGGGCTGAAGACATGAATCTGGAGATTGGTAAGCGCTCGCATTCTCTCTTCGAATCTAGGTAGTTTCGCCTTTCCGTCGTTCTAACCAGAGCCTAATGAATAGCCGTCGGTGTATGGGCGGGGCTGGCACTGAATGGGGACATCACGCCTCAGGATAAGCTGCAGCCTTTTATCGACGATGCCCTCGACCAGATCGAGTTTATCCGCGGGCCTGCCGATTCCAAATGGGGCTCCCGCCGGGCAGAACTCGGCCATCGGGAACCCTTCAAGCTCCACTATGTCGAGATCGGCAACGAGGACTGGCTTGCCGGTGGAGAGGCAGGCTGGCAGTCCTATCAGGATTATCGATTCCCAATGTTCCAGGCGGCCATCAGCGCGGCATATCCCGACATGCAGATCATCGCATCCGGCGCTAGCTCCGACGGATACGAAATCCCCGCGCCCGCCATCGGCGACTACCACCCCTACCGTGAGCCGGACCAGCTCGTCACGGAATTTAACAGGTTCGACAATGACGTGGCCCACATCGTCGGCGAGGTGGCCGCGACACATCCCAACGGCGGCATCGGCTGGGACGGCGACCTCCAGCCCTTCCCCTGGTGGATCGGCACCGTCGGCGAGGCCGTCTCGATGATCGGCTACGAGCGCAACGCGGACCGCATCCCGGGCGTCTTCTATGCGCCCGTCCTCCGCAACATGAACAGGTGGCAGTGGGCCGTCACCATCCTGCAGTTCGCCGCCGACCCGGCCATGACGACGCGCTCGACCAGCTGGTACGTCTGGGAGCTGTTTGCCAGGCACGCCATGTCGCACACCCTGCCCGCGACCTCCGATTCCGCCTTCGGACCGCTGTACTACGTTGCCGGCGCGAACGAGGCCGCCGGCTCCTTCATCTGGAAGGGCGCCGTCTACAACACCACCGACAGTGCTGATGTCCCTGTGTCCGTCGCTTTCGAGGGCGTCAAGGCCGGCACGAAGGCTGCTCTCACCATCATTACAAATCCGGGCGGCGACCCGTACGGGTATAATGACCCGCATACTGGCGTCAACATCGTCGACCACACAACGTATATTATCGTGTCAAATTCCGAGGGGGTATTCGAGTTCGACATGCCTGAGCTAAGTGTTGCGGTTCTGGATACAGATCCAAAGTCTGCCACCAACTGCAACAAGAAGCGGAGCACAGCGACGCGTCGACGGAGCAGTGGAAGTATGACAGGAATATAATGCCGTTCGTTGCCTACGTCTGGCCTACGGTTACCCGACGATGACAGGAATGGGAAGCAGGGGCTATCGTCAGGTTAATTAGCAGAGAAATGCAATAACTTGTTAAATGGGCTGCCTGGGAGCAGCTAATTGTGTTCTCTACACGTTACATCGACCTGTTACTTTCCCTCACGTCCTTGGCTCACCAAATCTAATTCCAAATAGTCGTGGAAGTAGATTTAAGGCTTCTCAGGATGTTTATGCAGTAGGAGGCTCACTGTTTCAGATGCTCAGCATCGTCTCGGGAGCTGTCTCCTTCCCGCCGGAAAAACCGTTGACGAGCTTTACCGTGTCGGGGCCTGCAGCTGGGAGATTAGAGGTGTCCGAATGGTTGTTTGAGGCAAGGTTTACAGGCTCCTATATTTCGGAAGCTCGAGTGCCCGGAAACTTGTGCCACGAACCCCCAGGACGAGCTAAGATATGAGGAGGAACTGTATCGGAACTCGATGCTGCGGGCCATTGTAATTACCTAGAGTGTCCCTAGGCCCTTGATAATATTGTTGTTGGGGAATGGGGTGGAGGTAATGCCCGATTTCGACCCTGTTGCCTCTTTCGCAGCTTGATCTCGGTTGGCGCAACACTCGGCCTCAAGGTGCTTCCCGCTCCAGACTCGACACTTCGTCGAGCAGCGTGGTGGTCTCTATGTGAACGTCTATTCAACTCCGCGTTCCAATCAAGACTCCCTTCCATTCGACAATCCATTGGCTGACGACTCCTACGTACATAAAAAAAGAACACCAAACCGTGCCCATGGTCTAGATATGTGGCACGTACTCCGACCAAACCGGCAGACAGTACACGGATGGAGGAGCATAGAGAAGACTGATAAAGCACTCGACCACAATATAAACTCGAGCAAATAAAAAGAGAGCGACTGACGCGACAACAAGCAACAATAGGCAATCAGCAAGCCTAGCAGTGAGCTGGGAGCGAAAATGAAAGGCAGAATCTTACCGTGTCACTTCTGGTAAGAATCATAGGCAATGCCTTAGATGCAGCTCTTCGAAATTCGGAGGACTGTGATTACCAGCTGCTGGTGTTACTTTCGTCTTTCAACAGGGGCAATAGCCAGATTCCTTCAACCCTGGAGCTGTCCTGTTGCAAAGCCCCCGATATGCTGCCGTGAGGGAGGTGCCATACTGTCAAATTTGATGCTTTCACGAACAAATCAGGCTGGCCATGACTACGACACGGCTGTAATTGCCGCTGATGTATTTAGTCCGAGAAATTGTCGAAGGCGAGGTCGATGATGTTCATCCCCAATGGTTCCGTTTTGGGATTCTATCCACCTCATCCCCTCAATTCACGGTATAACTGACCCGAGACTTCCCCTTACTCCTCGAAATCTTCTTCACCGTCGTCTCGCCACACAAATCCGTCGTATCAACATGCGTTCCTCCGCAAGGATACACCTCCGCGCCAACGATGTTCACCACCCGAAACTTCTCGCCTGGCGAAATCAAACCCGCGTCCGGAATCAGCCGCTCCATCCCACGCTTTCGGAAATCCTCCTCATCCCACCACTCAACCTCGACGGGCATCTTAGCCGCGAGGTACTCGTCGACCTTCTTCTGGATCGGCTCCTTCCACCTCCCCTCAATCAGCCCCTGGAACTCGCACGCCGCCGAGTCAGGGAAGTGCGACGCCTTCAGCTCGTCGAAGCCCTCAACCTCCTTCTCCAGCAGATGCCTAACCGCAGCACCGAGGACGTGGCCCGCGGTATGCAGGCGAGAGTACAGCAGCCGCTTCTCGGCGTCAATGGCCTGCTCGACGACGTCGCCCTCCCCGAAGACATCGCCGCCGCCGCCGAAGCGCCCAAAGTGCAGCACCTGGCCGTCGCGGACGGCGTCCATGCGCACTGCCGCGACGGCGAAGGTCGCGCCCGACGTCGGGCTCGTCAGCGTGCCGACGTCGGAGGGCTGGCCGCCCCCTTGGGGGTGGAAGATGGTCTGCTCGGTGACGACAACGTGGCCCTCGCCGTCGCCGTCGCTATCGCCGCTGGCCTGCTGCTTGAAGAGTTGGCGGTTGGCTTCCTCGAGGGAGGCGAATGGGCGGACTGCAGTCACGATGGTCTGGAGGGCGTGGAGTTTGGCATTGTGCTGGAAGGCCAGGTAGGTGCGGGCAGCGGAGGCCATCGTGTCGGGGAGGTGGTCTGTGAAGTTGTGGGAGTTGGAGAGTGGACCCGAAGAGATGCGCACTGGATAACAATAAAAATCGCGCCAAGTTGTGTGGCGCACGGGCCATCCCTTTACCCCTTTCCAGTGCTGCGACTCATTGGAACTAGAAACAATTCTGATGTTTATCGACATGTTGATTGTCAGTAAGGTCTCGAATCCAAAGGTGCAAATTACCGTTTGCGTAGCCGTCCATACCTCAGTAGAGGTAGTTAGGGGTCTTGGCACTCCTTGCTTTAAGGCATGCGACTTGTGGTTGGGACTAATTACCACCCGCTGCATAGCAATTCAGGATTCAAATGGTATTGTGCCAGGGCCGTGACAACCTCATATCGGTTTGTTTTAACTAGAGTTATAGTAGCCGTGGTGGCCGTGGCTTGGTATATGTGTAGAACCAAAAACAGCCGGGGGTATCAATTGTCTCAGCCCGAGTCTTCCTTTAATTGAAATGCCCTCAAGATAGCCGAGCTCACAACGGGGTATGACATGATCCTGTCGTGCAACCCATACTTCGTAATCTCCTCTCTAATTAAGCCTCCGTCTGTCGGTCGGCTCACCACCCAGCCACCCGCGCCCAGCACAGTCCGTCCCTTTTGTTTTTGTTCCTCGAGCTCCTCGTAGCCAATGCCCATCGGGATAGACGCGTTGACGGCGTGCCAGAACAGGATCTCGCTGTGGGTCCACGGGATGTCGTAGTCGTCCTCGGCGTGAATAATGGTGATGTGGTACCGTGGCCTGTCCCCGGGCATGCCCTCGCACAGCCGTACAAACTCGGCAAGCTTGTCCTTGCTTGGCCATTTGGTGAGTATGAAGGTGTTCAGGAAGGCCAGTAGCCGCGGGAAGTAGGCGACTGGGTCAAGAATGGGGATGGTTCCTGCCACACGATACGTGGCTGTCAGGAGCTCCACGTCGGCAAATGGAGCTACCAGGACCATGCCGGAGAAAAGGGTCGGCTCAGGCCTCGTTGCCATATGATGAGCTAGAGATATGGCCACCGCAGTGCCCAGAGATTGCCCAAAGAGGACGATACGCTGAGGCGGGATTCCTGCCTCTTTCATAGCCCACTCAGCGAGGGCGAGGGCATCAGTCAAAAGGCCCTGCTCAGAAGGCGCACCTGTGCTGGATCCGAAGCCTCTGTAGTCAATAGCAACAACGTGGATCTTGTCAGGAGCGCTAGCATATAAGGCTCGATAGCTCTGAGGTCGCCATCCGGAGCCCAGAGTGCCAGCAGCGCCGTGGAAGTACAGAACCAAGAGGGATTCCGGATCGTTGCGGAGAAGCTTGAAAGCCAACCGTGTCTTGATATCTGATACGTGGCCCTCTGGTTCTGCGGCAAGTTGCGACTCAAACCTTTGGTGGAGATTGAGTGGGAGAATATGCCATGCGTGTAGAGCTTCGCCATCGGGGGTCTGGAGGGTGAAGGGCGTAACCTGGTTGTGCATAAAGCCCCATTGTTCAGGCATGTTGACATCCTGAAACCAAGTCATGGCTATGCTGTTGAGATAGATGACTTGATTTTGGAAGAATGGCACCGTGAGGAGGCAGATAAAAAGAAGGTAGCCCACAGTTGAGGCCACGAGTGCGAACATGACGTATTGCAGAACCACAAAAGGGTCTACCACAGAAGGGGCCGCCATTGCTTGCAGGCCCAAATGCCCTCAATCTCAGTAAGGAGAGGCGAGATGAGGCGAAGAGTTGAACTAGGTAGGTACCTAGGGAAACACGAAAGAAAGGTGAGGTTGAGGATGGTTGGGAAATTGTCTCACCTGGTCCGTGCATGAGTACAACTGCGGCTATTGTGACCCTGTCAAGCTGGGCCAATGACTTTGTGATAGCGACGCGCCGTGGTAACGGCAGGTAAAGTTTCTCGGCCAATGAACAATCGCTGGAATGGCCCAGGCTTCCAGACTGGCGGTTACGTCCTAGATGTTGGTTCCAGAATATGTCCCTCCTGCAGCAAGAGTTGCTGTCTTGTTTTCTCCTTCGAGTCGTCAAAGGGAGAATGTGGCACTTGTTTCAGCCGTGCTCCTGAGGTACAGCGCACATAAAGATAGAGATAAAAATAGACATGTCTAGCCAAATGTCAGAGCTATTTGAGGTTGCTAATATCCAGTTTGAGTCGTGTCTTTGTAGCCAGCACGGTGGTCTGGTTTGCCTCTTTCATTCTGCGGGGGGGGGGGGGGGGGGGGGGGGGGGGGGGGGGGGGGGGGGCGGGGCGGCGGGGGGGGGGGGCGGGGC